AGAGCTTCTAGTTGATGTCCGGGGGCAGAAGTCGACTCAAGTCCGCAAGGAGCTATGTGTTAGCAACTACGAGATACCTACTGCTTCAAGTTTTGTCCAAGACAAGCTGCGAGTTGTAGGCGACTACAAGCACCTAGGCACATGGATGCAAAGGCGTCAAAACCACGATAAGGAGTTTCGTACGAAGTTTGCGCAGGCACACAATGTGCTGACAAGATATCGGACCCAAATATTTGGCAATAAATTGATGCAATGGACCAAGAAACGGCAATTCTTTGAATCACTGGCTATGTCGGTGATCATGTATAATGCTGCGGTATGGAATCCTGTTACAACTCGAGAGCGACAACATTTCCAGAAAGGCCTGTTCAAGCTCTATAAAAGAGCCGCAGTTATGCATTTCGGAGCCCAAGCCTTGCATTGGGAACAGACAAAGATCTTTGTAGAGCTTGAACTGTTGATGCCGGAAGTGTTGCTGACCCAAGCTCGGCTTCGATATTTGGGTCATTTGGCGGCTAAAGGACAGGCACTTTTCTGGGCGATGGTACAGACTGAACAAGTCTGGTGGACGCTCATCCAAAAGGATGTTGAGTGGCTGCGTTACTTTTGCCCTAGCGAACCTTGTCCGTGTCCGACGACTGAATGGGATGCTTTTGCTACATATGTATGTGATGCGCCCATGAGGTGGAAAAGCCTAATTAAACGAGCCGTCAAACGTAGCCAGAACTTTGCTGAGCGTAAGTACAAATGGGCCAAATGGCATGAGGCCATTTTCCGTAGTGTGCGATCGTGTCGCTTGGTTTCTGGTTGTGAGTCCCACCCAATGCAAGGAGAGCACTACTGCTTGCAATGCCGCCGAGTTTTTTGAATCAGCAGCAGCATGTGCAGTGCACTCGTTCAAGCAGCATGATAGACCCACTTTTGTGCGTGAATATGTCACAGGGACGGCATGTGAGTCATGTTTGCGAGTGTATTCACGACATTCCGATCTGTTGAACCATGTCAGATACAATCAAGGCTGCAAGCAGTTCTATTGTGACAGAGGCCTAGCGGTCTTAAGAGAGCCAGGTGTTAACAGCAAAGTCGATGCTGATGCCCGTGGCACGTTGCCTGATCCAGTACTGCAGGCTGAAGGCCCCAAGGTTGGACTGCTGCGGAATCAAGGTCATCAAAGTTATGCTCAACGGCAGCGGCATGAGCTGTGGGAGCAATGCAACATTTCGCTTTCCGCCAGCACAGACCCCGACGTTTTGCTAGAGCGACTCCGGGATGCGACAAGAGCTACTATGCTGTATCACTCGGAGATAACAGCGAGCATGACGGCTTGGAGCCAGTTACCGGAGATTGCTCAGGCCATTTCTGCTTTGAGTGCATGCGATGTTGCCCAGCGGTTTCTAGACCTTGCATCAGCTTCTTGGTTTTTGGGCCGAGATTTTCCTGCTGAGGTACCAAACGAGACTGTTGAACACTTTTTTTGCTGCGCAAAGCATTGGTATGGACATGTTCCCGTGCATCATCCCAGATGCACCACGGTATAAGCCCAGGATGGTAGCGCATTTGTTCTCGGGGACACGCCGAGACAGAGACCTCCAATATTTCTGGGAACAGATGGGGTTTACTGCCCTATCAATCGACATCATTTTCCACAAAGAACTGGGTGATTTAGGAAGACCAGACACCATGGACTTTTTTCTCAAGGCCCTTCGATCAGGAATGATTGTCGGATGGGTGGCTGGGCCACCATGTGAGACATGGAGCAAAGCCCGTAAACATAAACTTCCTGGAGGACCAAGGCCAGTTCGAAGTCGGCAGATGCCATTCGGGTTGCAAGACCTCACCTATAAGGAGCACATCCAGGTTTGCACCGGAAGTCTCCTCTTGGGGATTTCTTTTACGCTGTTTTGGCATAGTGTTTTGTCAGGTGCGACGGCAGTGATTGAGCACCCAGCTGAAGTGGGCCTTGAGTCCGAAGACCCAAGTATATGGAAGCTTGATGTCGTTGCTTTTCTTCTACGATTCCCAAATGTGAAGAAGCTTCGAGTGTTGCAAGGGCACTATGGGGGAGCGACCCCCAAGGCCACCGACCTCCTGATCCTGAATGGTGGTAGTGACCCTGAAGAGACCCTCGTGCAGTCTCGAACGACCCATTTGCCGAAGAACTCAGCGATTGGCAAGAACGCTGATGGGTCCTGGCAGACAGCGGTGCTGAAACAGTACCCGCCAGATTTCTGTGCCGGATTGGCACGATTGTTTGAACAGCAACTGCACGAGGAAGGCTCCGAAGTGCGCCTGCCTGCCGACTTTTCCGCTAAGGTCGAGCACTTTGTACAGTCGTTTGACCAGCAGGCAGCGATGGGGCCAGACTTCAATGCGTCTGCACGTAATTTGTAATTTACTGCATCTGGTCACAGGCAAACGCCTTCGACGCACAGAAGAGGAAAAAAAGAGGAAACCTGCCACTCCCCCCCAAGAAATAAGAATCCAAACAGTTCTTAACCACGGACTATATGGGGGTTGTTCAAAAGTCCTTTCATTTTTTTCCAGGCCTTTCGCAGGACCTTCGCGAAGCTTTCGCAAGCTTTCGCGCGTGGGGTTTTACCTCTGTCGGCGAAAATGGTTTTTCGTTGGGGCTAGAGGCTTTCAAGGATAGTTGCCCTGGCACGTCTTGTGTCCTCTGATCACTGACACATTGATTGCTGAGGAACAGGAAGCCAGCGAACCAAGACATTTTCATGTTGGTGTGTTTTTGGTTGGGCGCAACCCTCCATGAACAAGAGACGGCTCAGTCAGGCCAGTTTGCTCAAACTTCCAATTTGCTTTTCCCGGGCCGGGAAAAAGCAAAGTGGTTCAGACTTCGAATTTGCTTTTTCCTTGGGCCGGGAGAAAAGCAAAATGGTTCAGACTTCCAATTTGCTTTTTCCCCGCCCGGGAAAAAGCAAAATGGCTCAGACTTCGAATTTGCTTTTTCCCAACCCGGGAAAAAGCAAAATAGTTCAGACTTCCAATTTGCTTTTTCCCGGGCCAGGAAAAAGCAAAATGGCCAGACTTCCAATTTGCTTTTTCCCGGCCCGGGAAAAAGCAAAATGGTTCAGACTTCGAATTTGCTTTTTTCCAGCCCGGGAAAAAGCAAAATGGCTCAGACTTCCATTTTGCTTTTTCCCGGGCCAGGAAAAAGCAAAATGGTTCAGACTTCCAATTTGCTTTTTCCCGGGCCGGGAAAAAGCAAAATGGTTCAGACTTCCAATTTGCTTTTTCCCGGCTCGGGAAAAAGAAAAATGAAACTCCTTCCAATTTGGAAAGCAATCTGTGGGGGGAGATTGCCTTCTCCGGCCTGGAAACAAGCAGCGCCTGTGAGGCTCGAGCCCACGACCTTCTGCTTATGAGCCTGGCGCCGTATCCAGCTCTCTGAAATAATTGCTCTTTTCAGGCTTTGCAAAAGCAACCTGGATGTCCAATTTGCTTTTCCGGCTCAAACTTCCAATTTGCTTTTTCCCGGGCCTGGAAAAAGCAAAATTGGAAGTCTGAACCATTTTGCTTTTTCCAGGCCCGGAAAAAGCAAATTGGGTGTCTGAACCGTTTTGCTTTTTCTTCGCCCGGGAAACAGCAAATTGGAAGTCTGAGCCAGCCCTGGAAAAAGCAAATTGGAAGTCTGAGGTGGGGTGGGGTTTGGCCCTGTCGTCTTTCGCGTCCACAATGCGAACCTTTCGCCATACTTGCGCAGTTTCCCACGACAAAGAATTTTCCAAGGGTCGGGAAAAAGCAATTGGACATGTATCAGACTTCCAATTTGCTTTTTCCTGGGCCCGGGAAAAAGCAAAAGGCTCAGACTTCCAATTTGCTTTTTCCCAGGCCGGGAAAAAGCAAAATGGTTCAGACTTCCAATTTGTTTTTTCTCGGGCAGACTTCCAATTTGCTTTTTCCCGGGCCGGCAAAAAGCAAAATGGTCCAGACTTCCAATTTGCTTTTTCCCGGGCCTGCTCAGACTTCCTATTTTTCTTTTTCCCGGGCCGGGAAAAAGCAAAAGGCTCAGACTTCCAATTTGCTTTTTCCCGGGCCGGGAAAAAGCAAAATGGTTCAGGCTTCCAATTTTTTTCCGGGCCGGGAAAAAGCCAGACTTACAATTTGCTTTTTCCCGGCCCGGGAAAAAGCAAAATGGTTCAGACTTCGAATTTGCTTTTTCCCAGCCCGGGAAAAAGCAAAATGGCTCAGACTTCCATTTTGCCTTTTCCCGGGCCAGGAAAAAGCAAAATGGTTCAGACTTCCAATTAATGGTTCAGACTTCCAATTTGCTTTTTCCCGGCTCGGGAAAAAGAAAAATGAAACTCCTTCCAATTTGGAAAGCAATCTGTGGGGGGGGATTTCCTTCTCCGGCCTGGAAACAAGCAGCGCCTGGAAGATTTGAGTCCTCGACCTTCTGCTTATGAGCCTGGCGCCTTGTCCATTAGGCCACAGCTCTCTGAAAAACTTGCTTTTTTCAGGCTTTCCAAAAGCAACCTGGATGTCCAATTTGCCTGCGCGGCTGAAACTTCCAATTTGCGTTTTCCCGGGCCTGGAAAAAGCAAAAGGTTCAGACGTCGTCCAACCAAGCCATTTTGACTTTGCTGTGTTTTTGGTTGGGCCCAACCCTCCATGAACAAGAGACGGCTCAGTCAGGCCAGTTTGCTCAGACTTCCAATTTGCTTTTTCCCGGCCCGGGAAAAAGCAAAATGGTTCGGACTTCCAATTTGCTTTTTCCCAACCCGGGAAAAAGCAATCGGAAGTCTGAAGAGCAATTGTTCTTGCAGCGTGGCCAGGTCACCAACATGACTTGCGCAGACCTTTCGCAGGACCTTCGCGAACCTTTCGCGACTGCAGTGAGAGCACAATCGAAATCAGCCTTTGAAATTCGATTACTAACAAGGAAGAGGTGGGTTTTTGAACGACGCTCATATAGGGATCTCCACTCTACCCTTATCTCTGCCACTAAAACAAACAGCCACTCCGCAGCCGATCGCACCCGCCTGGAGCACCGATCCGGCTGGACACCAAGGTGTCGTTGAGGTCGAAACTGGCCACCTGACGAGTAACAGGGTCATCGCTACGATGTAGCAAGAAGCAACAGAGGTTGAAGGACCCTAGTTCGACTATCCTGTATACAATATATTATATATTATATATGTACTCCAGTAGGGTCCTAGAAGGTCACTCAACCTGCATCGCTGGTAGTAAGAAGAAGCGAACGTAGCGATGCCCTTGTTCCGACGCAAAACAACGTTTCGACGATGCCCGGCGGAGCTGCGCAGACAAACCGGAGACGAAGACGGTCCTTCGCTCCCCGAGCAACGGTGCGGAATCAGCGGAGGATGCGATCGATTCTGCGCGTCGGAACAAGGGCATCGCTACGTTCGCTTCTTGCTTACTAGCGATGCAGGTTGAGTAATGCACCTGTTCTGAGTAGCGATGCACCTGTTACTAATCAAGCTGTCCATGTGCACTGCTGAAGCACCTCAGCCAGTCCGATGGTCTGCCACCGTGGTCGACGATCGCTTGATACATCGACCCGCAAGACACCACGGGCAACGACATGACCCTCGTACGAATCCCTTTTGGAACACCACAAAGCAGGCTCGATACATCGGATCGACATGACCAGCATCTGGTCACCAATTGAGACCTCTGACCGGCGTCGCTTCCAACCCCATGATTTGTGGAGGGTTTTTTGCGTGGGACCCATTCGTTGATGGTTCGCGTTGCTTTGAGGCTCCCAAGAACGCACCACTTCCCTCCAAAAGCCACGAATCGCTCTGCCCACGTCAGAGCGAACTGTGCCTTCACACTGGCTTTGCATGCGGGATCCTGTCTGTGCCCGGGCAGCTAGAACGGATGAGAGAAACATAGGTGTTGGTGATCTTTCCACTAGGACTGTCAATTGGTCAAAAGTGTTGGAAGCTGAACATAATTAAGATACTTGTGCTGTCAGTCAGTTGCCTGGTTATCGTATTTGTAGACCACCTGCTCCTCCAACAAACAAAGAGTTGTTGCCAAAACAAAGGGCACCGTTGGGTGCACTATTTGTCCAAGTCCGCCGTGACGTGTGCATAGAAGTGGCTTCCTATCAGTTTCTTGTTCTGCAATGCCCGTTGCTCGCAAATCTCCATGGCCTAGAGTGGGTTCGATTCGCCAGTGACGAGATACAAGAACAGACCAACTGAGTTCGTTTTGGGCCGGTTTACTCGGCTTTAGGTCTTATCAAGAATGGCCAGGAAAGAAAAGCAACACAAAAGGTGTGGTGAACTGGGCTGACCCTCACCACGGCTCGCTGATTTATACACAGCTTATACATTAGCACACCACAAAGTGTCGTTAATTCAAAAACTATTCCCAAATAGCGATGCAATCAAACATGTTCAAAAAGACTCTCCCTCACTCTGACCCCCCAAACCCATGGTGAATCACCACGGGCGAATCGCCCCTGCATTCCACGCCTCGCGGAGCAGCAAAGAACGGCCCTGCTGCTTCCAGAGCGGTGCTTTGTGACTGAACATCTCATGGCGATGTGTTGCAACGGTCGTGCATGGTCAAAGCTCCATGGGCATCAGGGGGGTGTCTGCAGCTTTCAGCTATTGAATCCACTATGATTTAAGTGAATGGTTTACCCTCACAGTTCAAGAAACAACTGTAGATCGATGCAACTACAAGGCTAGTTTTTTAGTCCACCATGGCCTCAAGAATGCCAACTGAATCTCCATGCTTGCACCTCCCTCAGGCCAGGACAGATTCTTGGCACAATAGCTTTTATATGCTCTTCCTGGTTCTTCAAAGTGACCTTTTGATAACCTGGGTTGAGGTCACAAGCAAGCCTCCTAAGGGTCACTTAGGAACCTTCAAAAGTATTGTCAATAGTTTACTTCAAATCCACTTCAAAGTTGTGGTCATCGGGATCTGCGTCAAAGCTGCAGTGCTGAGCCGGCAGTTTTCTTGCGTAGGAACCCGAAGAAACCAAATTCTTGTGGTGGAGTCGCTCAAGAATTTGGGCTGCTCAAAGCTTTGAGCCAGAAATGGACAGTTCAATGGAGCCAGCATCATTACCAAGATCATCTGGCATGTGCTGGCTAAGCTTCCCTGTCTGTTGACATGATCTTGGAATGGGCCTGAGTTCCTGTCCATCCTTGGCCCCTAAACCGCTCAAGCAGGGCCCCCCCCACTCCATCCGCACGGGTTATGGGATAAACCGAGAATCGTCCCTGAAAACAGATTACAAGCGTCTGTGAGGGTTGACTTCTGAGGTCGACAAACAAGCTTCTGAATTACTGCACACATATCCCAGACACTCCATGTATGCCATATATGCCTACATTGGGGTGGTTTGAGGGGTCAATGTAGGCATATATGGCATACATGGAGTGTCTGGGTATTACACTCTCACTGACCAACATGGTGGAAGTGGATTCCACGGTCCAGGGTCAGACCACTTCCTGACAACGAACACGGGGGTGAACTCCAATTCCATGTTTGTGAGTCGGAGGGTCTACAAAATCAAGTGTTGGACGTGGACAAAACAACGGAAACAACCTGCTCTGCGATGATGCACCTGCGATGGTGGCGCGTTCAAACGAAAAAAACAAACATGTGATCCACAATGCTTTCTTCACCTCCAACTGGTCTTAGAGTTCCTTCCACTGATGGACGCCTACAGGCAGCCTCCAGGCAGCCTTTGCGGGGGGCCAGGAAGAGACATTAACTCCTCACGCTGTACGCTTTGGAGTTCTTCATCTCGAGAAATTGGCCCAATGTCACGTCCACCATCCACTCCTCACATAGACGTCGACCAGGGCACGTATGTCAAGTGTTCGTATATGTCATGTCTAATGGACCATGTTCAGGCCACAGTGCTAAAGCCCTAGAAATCCACATACCTTCTCAGAAGGTACTTGGGCCCTCCAAGCCTACATAAATAGTCTCCAATCACCTTCTCAGCTTCGGTATGTGGATCCCTAGGGAAGCAAAAGACCGGGCCAGCCATGTTCGGACGCGTCTCCCAAAGGTCGTACTTCACTCCGACGCATGGAAAAGCCGCTAGTCAAAGCTTAGGAATTCACATGGGATTCATGGTCTACTGTGACAAAGCTTGCCAAGAGCACGTCCGGCTTACGTGCAGCATGTCCTCCTGTTTGGAGCTTGGAGCTCGCCCGGGACCCCGAACAGCAAGGTGGCTCTCGAACTCAAGGAGGGCAGCAGCCAAGGAGCATCTGCACGAGCCAAGTATATAGCTTGCACGGAGCTACGGCGCGAATGGCGCGAATGGCGCTCGGTCGAGCGAACTGGTCTTCACGTCCCACGTCGAACGAACCGACTCGAGGGAGGAGGGCAACGAATGTACGAAGCAAAAGGATGAAGCCCTGAACATGATTTACAAAAGGAACCCATTGTAGGACCCACAGTCGCTCGTCTATACAATGCTTTACACTCCCGTTATTGGGTGGGTGGGGGGAAGATGGCACGGCCCACACCTTACGGCTGGATGACCATGAATTCCGAAGACGATTTCCACGGGGGTGTTCACTTTCCTTGCTGAGATGTACTTTACTTTTCACTATAGCTAGGCAGGGTGACCAAGGTCGACCTCTTAAAGTCCTGGAGAACGGCATCCGAAACCCGACTCAATTCGGCGGATGTGATGTGAAGGGGCACGAATGTGCACTAGGTTCCATTAGATTCGATGTGGGTTCAATTCGATGTAGGTTCTCTCAAATTCGATGTAGCTTCTCTCAGTTTGATGTTTTTCTTCAACCTGAGGCTTCAATCTTTTCCCTGGGACTTCAAGTGGCCTCCTCTCACTTGAGCGACTGTAGGATGGGCCAGGAATAATCTTTCTAGCAGGTATGAGGACTGGGTGCTCAAGGATGGGACCATTACTGTACTAGGTCCCAAGTCTCCTAATGTCTCCGTTTCGTCACATCACTGTAGTCACAGGGAACTCCCTCCAAGGACGCAGCGGACGCAGCTGGCGATCAAGCATGAGCAGCTGGTCCTGTGTATACAATTAGAGTTACACTCCCTGGAACTAACATGGAAGTGGAGAATGGCCCCGTAAGGAAGACCATGAAATCCACTACAAACAGGTGGTTTTCCACTTCCATGTTAGTTTCAGGGAGTGCATCATGTTTTCCAGTTTTGATCTCTCATCTCTCTCTAACAAAATGTCTCGCACAGTAATGTTTGCACTTGGCGACCTGGGCAAAGGTTGCTTATGCATTTAACACAGACATTCAAAATCATTCATGGTGGTACAGTAGCTCAACCAACACCCACACAACCTACCAGTACCCTCTTCACAGACCTGATGTCTTCGGTTGCTCATCGAAATCCCACCCTGAAATCGACACCTCTCAAGACCACCAGCTATTGCTGGCCCTTGCCTTTGAGCTGCAGGTTGCACCCTTGACCTTCCAGGGGGGCACGTGTTTGATTCGGGCTTTTCAGGGTCGAGACCCGGTACTGGGCATTTGTTTTGCCGGCGTGTCCGCCCGTCGCAGGACGCCTTGAAGAATTGATTGCAGTGAAACTTTGGACATGAGTGTAAAATAGGGAGACCCCCAGCCCAAAGACCCGTAAAAAGGAACATAGACCAGTCATGACCAGTCTACAGTCTACCCATTGGTTGGAGACCTCCCACCCCCGCTGATTGGCATAACTGCCCTCGTGTTCCACTGGTCGCTGGTGCTTCATTCAGTCGAGTATCCTCAGTATCGTCCCTCAATTCCTCCCGCGACATCCAGCACGCCGGTCCACACGGAACTCCGGATACCCCCAACGACCCCCGGTCCCACCGCGCGGCACGCTGAACGCGGCACGCAAACGACCCGCACCCAGTAAGGCTGCCAGCACTTTCCGTAGCTGGCGACAGGCGAGCAATGCGTAGGACCTCAATCGCAGTGAAACGTCGGAAGAAATTACGGTGAGTTGAATAAAACCATGCGTGGGAAAGAACTGGTGTGCTGTTTATTGGGACTGGCTTGGACCTTCACGAGTGATTCACGATGTGAAAGAAAGAACATAATTGAGGACACATCCAACTATACCCTCTCTACAACCATAAATTGTGGATGGCCCATTCCATATTCTTCACGTCAATGATTGTTGGATTCAGTTTACTACCAAACATTCGATAGATGCACAGTGCGTCATCGTGTCTCAGACCACATATGCTCGGTCTGTGGTCTGACGTGCTTGGTCTGTCACACCGCGAGGTCAATGAAATTGACCAGCCCCCTAAATCTTCCAGACTTTGACACGCCCGTACCGTTGCGTTCGACACACTGCGGCCGCGTGGTCACTTCAATGCGTCTCTTTTGGCTTGGCTTTGCGATTCGCTCGGTGCCACGCGACCGTCCACGGGTCCGCGTGGGTCTCAAGGGATTCTAAAAAGCACCGCTGGGCTGGGTAGTTGAAGAGAGCGGAAGTCAGGCTACTGCCGAGTCTTGTGATGGCATAAATATGATCCAGAATTCACATCCTTGATCGTTGAGAGATCAGGCAGTTTGAGGGCTCGCGAATTGTATAATTTGTAGCATATGCTTGTGGGTTGCCTCTGCTACCCCATCCTGGGGGGGCTACAGCAGCCCTACGGCCCCTGTATCCTCAGTCTGACTTTCAAAGGCTCGAACAATCATTCCCAAACCAACTAATTAAATGTAATTGCATATTAGATTTAGAATGATTTAGATGTGATCTTCAAGAAACTGACAGTATTTGGATCTTACTTCCTGAAACAATCATGAAAGTGGAAAATGGCCCCTGGGAAGACCATGTTCCTCTACAAACCTGGCATTGTTCACTTCCATGATTGTTGGAGGGAGAGCGAACATCATTGTTCATGACTCGTTGGACTCCAAGGAGTGGGATCTGTTGTAAAAAGTTATCTCCAATTCATTTCAGGAGTTCCATTCCGCGGGGAAGATCTGCTTCCGACCCGGTCCTTGAGTAGATCTGATCTGTTCCCGGAAAATTCCGGGCCAAAGCCTCGGATCTTCTCCGATCCCGGGGAATCAACAAAAAGGCATCACCATGTTCACCATGACTTGGATGTGCTTCAAGAACCAGGAAAAAACATCCAGCAGTTCCCTGTCGGGGTGCTGAATGGAGGTTCATTAGGGGTACCCCTGTAACATCCATGGCCCCTGGATGGGACGAGCCACACCACCCAATCTGACTCCTGGATCAACAACCTTCCGATTTCCCATGCCAGGGGATTCACTCAGGTCTTAGGGGATTCACTCAGGTCTTTATTAAAAAAAAAACATCACAAACAAACACCGCAACAATTTAAGGATGAACCGCCCCATGTTTTCTGAAACATTCACATTTCTCTAGGACGTCGTTTGTTGCGTTGTCTGGGGGGGGAGCGGGGGTGATCCCCTCTCCGATTCATCCTCACTTCCCTCTCATCAGCAATTCCAGATTCCCTAGCGGGAGAGCCTCTGCACTTCGCCTCTTGGTCAAAGCTGCGCGCCACGCAGCGCATGCTGAGCGCAGCTCAGGTGCACAGAGCACAGCTTGGCGCCTGGCCGGCCGCCGGAAAGGAGCCGAGCTCGCGCGGCCACCAGGGAAATGGACAAAGAATCTGCTTGGCTCCAAAGTCTTAGCAAAGTTGGACCTTGGTCCCATCTTGGTTCATCTTGGTCCTCTAGAAAAGAGGCCCTTGATCGAAAGAACGCTTACTAGACATGGATGCCATGCTGTGAACGTTGTGTCCTTGTCGCAACGATCTTGGCTTCTAAGAGACATATTCTTGAACACTTGCTCTTGACATCTTTTGGGGAGTGCCGGTACTTCCTTGTCATGCCTTGATCAGAGTCATCCCGAGTAAGTAATATATATATATATATTAATGTATAATGTCATATGTCTTGAGATGTTTTGAGTGCTTTCCTATGAGTATATCACGCGTTGCATCAATGTTACAAAATCAGTCCAATCCACCACAAAATGCAGCAGTTTCAACTCCTCTGTACTTTGCTGGCTGTCCTTCTAGCCTCCAAAAAGTTATTTGGGGGTTCCACAGCTCAAATTGGATTGTTCCTCAGATTGGTCTCATACTTGTCAGAAAACCTTGATGTCGGTTCACAGCATATGCTTTAGAACACTACAGGCCTTGCCCTGGCCCACAATCAGCCCTTTCATGATCCTAGTGGTCCATCCAACCGCTGGCGGATTGTTCTATGTACTTCAACGTACTTCTACGCTTCATGATGCCACATCTTGCAATTTACCGGGTCACTCACGATCTGAAACCTGCATCCACCAATATCCACTAACCATCTGGAAGGAGTGGAGCGGTGCGCGAGTCTGACGCTCCGATGTCTCATCTTCAAATGGAGACGTTGCTGTCCCACTGAACCCTTTGCAGCGACGGCGTTCAACCGCAGTGACCCACCCGCACATGGCTTTCTCCGGGCAAAACGTGTCTCATTAATCGTATAGTGTGGTGTTCAATCGATGACTAGAGCAAACTCCTTGCAAAAACAACAAATATGATCTTCAACAGTTTGGGTGAGTAGCCATCTCTGTCACTGGGCAACCAACAAGGGTAACAAGGGCATATCCAACTAATAAATCTTTACTTGTGGAGGAGAGGCTCTCTATGGCTCTCATGTGGTGCAACGACCCTGTACCCCAACGAAGCATTAGTGATGTGCGTGATGTGCCAGGCAAATCTAGGTCTTTCCGCAAATAGGGCAGGCGGCAATGCGTGTTTAACCTGAAGGTATGTTTCGGAGGTATGTTTCGGGGTATGTTGCAAGGTATGTTTAAAGTGCTTAGCAATGCATTTATGGAAGCAACCATCTAGAGAGTCACACGTGTTTGGCACCTTCGAAAGGGGTCTCCTCGCTGGAATACACGTATTCACTAATTACATGCTGGTGGTTCTTTCAGCGAGGACACCCCTTTCAAGATCCAGGTCCGTTGACCAAGTTGACCAAGTAACTCACTACTTCCAAAATCCTTGCAGAGTTCCTTCTGTGAGTTACTCTCCCGGGTATACTGACCCGGCGTTCACCACATGGGGGGCTCCAGCCACAGCCACACATCGTGGCAACTAATGCCCTTGCCTACGGGGAGCCGAGGGGCAGCCTCTCGAGGCTCAGCAAGGAAAGGATGACATCTGAGCGAACACTCCCGGTTTCGCAGAAAAAAATGGGTGCGTTCTGAGCCTAGCAGAGCATGATGCCAAGGGATGGGCATTACATGTTGAGACCAAAAGAGATAAGAACACATTGGAAAGCATGCATGAGTCATCTCAACATGTCCCAACATCGAATTGACAGGAGGATCCTTCTGGGCTGTAAACTGGTATGTTCATGAGTGCACAAGGTCGCGCTAAAGCCAAGAACATTGCCTTCAACATCTAAAATATAGTTTGCCCAGTCTGGCGTGCCCACGTGGATGCTTCCATCATTTCCTGGTTGAAGGAGGTCCCCAAAGCCCCAATTTGCAGTGTAAAACCTCTTAATATGAAGGGGTTCAGTAATCAACCGTCTAGTCTATACACCTGCTTGAACCTATCTCTGGAGCCCTCGGCTCCTGACTCCCGCCAAACGCCAGCAGTCGACATCAAGCGTGATAGGGACATTTCTTAAAGAATCCCGCCGGTCTCTGATGGCTTCACCGAAAACACGCCCCAGTCGGCCATTCAACTAGCGCATCTCAGCTTGACTGGAGTTGGTCATACCAAAACACTCACGAACATGACGTGAAGCAATCAGGTTATACTGGGTCAAACTGGATCTGTAAGGACTGTCAACTTTGTTCACTTCAAACTCCGCCACACAGATTCGACTCGGGATTCGTTTCTGGTCCGGAAACGTTTCCGGTGACATGTTCCGTCGGAGACCGATGTTGCCTGGGGTCAAAGCAGAGAAATGCGGGCGATGATTGAAGGCTCTGTGGCCTTGTCTCGGCCCTGTGAGAGGAGACCTCCCCTGCCGAGACTTTTGGGAGACTCATGACTCGTCGACGTGAGACCTGATGGGGTGGTGCTGGTGGAAAAACGCTCTGCCTGCTTCGTGACCGAACTCGTGACCGAACGACCTGGAGTCCCCTCCAGTGACTGAACGATGTGAGGAATCAAACCAGAAAGAACGTGAAAAGCGATTGGACACCTGCTGCCCATCAAAGAAAGGACTCCGAATCAATTTGATGGAATTTCGCTCACGGACAAAGGAAGCAAAACCGGTGAGCCGGTTTAGAGGGGATCCTGGGCTTGTTAGCTGGAGGGACGTTCCCTCGATGTCTGTGCCATAAGGAGTGACAGAATTTACAAAGTAAGGCATGGCGGCATGCCCGTTCTCCTCATCCTGTAGCATTTCAAGTCTACAAAAACCGTGGTTTGAATGAATTGGTTGCTTTCAAGCATACTTTCATGAAGCCAGTTTTAGAAGAGACCCCTGCGACTTCTGTCTAGGTTGTACGGTGTACTCTTCTTTGCCCCAAACACCCAAATCTACAGGCTGTCATTGAGTCAGGCACCCTGACGTATCCCAGGCACTTGGTGTTCTCCATACTCAAAGTACAGAAGATCACTATTGATATTATGGCTCTGTTGCTATTAGCTATCTGTTGCTGTTGCTCTTAATATCTCTTAATCCTCTTAATCTGTTGCTTGCACTTGTCTTCTGACTTGGTCTTCTTCTGTAATGTCCTTCTTTTTGTTTTTTGCCCATGTCATGTTGCACACCTCACAAATCACGTCAGAGGTAGGTCTCCTCGAAGCGATCGCCGCTGATGATGCATTGCCGCACGCGGCTGCGCCCACGAAAGGCACGGAGAGGTCGCCGATGAATCGCCACATCTCCGATAATTCACTGCTGGTGTCAGTTCTAAAACTCTTTGACTTGTAACATCATGTAAGCCACATTCATCATCATTCATCCAGAACCCTCTCAAACCACACTCTTCTTGACCAGTTCACGATCGGAAATCTGTTCGTTTGTCTATGTGCTTTTGCAAAGGAAAACACGGAATCCCAGTCAACATCTGAATCACCTGGATGCCCTTCGGAATCCGCTTAGCAAATCATATCCGTTTGGTGGTTGACCTTCAAGGTGAGGTTTCAAACTGGAGGAAGAAATCCTCCAGCACCATACCGCATACTCCAAAACCACTGCATTTCCAGTTCTTTGGCGGACCAGGAGCACATCAACCTTCGTTTACCTTCCTGAAAGACGAGCGGTAGCAGGTGACGCACGAGGAACCAGAATCCGATGGACCGAACACCTGTTGGATCAGGCCGATGCAGAAACCGCTGATGTCTTGAAGTACGCAATCCACTGTGAGCTTAGACGCTGCTGTTTTTTTGCTGCTTTACCAGGGACGACCTTTTGGAAACTTCACATGCAAGGTGCTTTACGAACTTCATGTTCAGTAGTTCTATACTCCAACTGGGAGCTTCTAGGTTGGAGGCCATCGCTACTAGGTTGGATGCCATTACTACTAGTAACAAGAAGCTACTAGTTACTACTGGGTGATCTGGGAGCTTCTTCTGACTCCTTTCGCAGTCCAACAGTCCAACGACCTCCAGTCCGGCCCCCGACCAGTCGGGCGCCTCACTCGCCTCGCTCGATCGCTCGCCGCGATCCATCGTGGCCACCCTTCACTGCGCACCGTTGGCCCGGAGGAAGGTGATGGCAGCCTCAACGACCCGTGGCGCCGCAGTGGTTTTGAGGGGATCCTGAAAAAGGATGTGTGTGATTTTGTGTGTGTTTCTTTCTTTTTTCTGGGATCCCGTATCAACTGTTGGTGTTTCCTTTCTGTCGCTAAAATCCACCATTTTTTTGTTGTTCTCATCGGATTGGCTCAGCTTTTGGGAAGACACACTCTCAGTTACAATTGACCCTATGTATCCCCAAACGGCACTTCCAACGGCCTCTGTTCTTCGTTCGGGTGCTTGACCCCCAATGCTCCGTCCATCATCAATGCTCTCGATGTTGCCCATGAATGGTCCCAACGTGTGAGTTCCATCTCAAGTTTGTAATGATTCTGCTGAATACGTCAATCCAAGAACATTTTAAGGAACACATACCAGGTAACCTCCATCCTGACGACTTTGCCCATTTGGAGTTCCGTCTCATAGCCTGTCGGGGAAAATGGCCTGCGCTCCTAGGATCAAGTTATACATGTCCAAACATGGTTGTCTTGTCATTTCAGTAGAATCATTAGACCGAGCAGCTGATTAGGGTCGCTCTATAGTTGCAATGTCTAGAATGAACCTGGCAAAGAATGGACCAGGTTCATCACAATTGATCACTGCACAATATAATATATATATATATATACCAGGACCCTCCAAGGGGTGTCCAATGGACTACCCCACACTACCTATAGGCTTCCATTGGGCACCCCTTTGTGACTCCTGGTATATGGCGTATCGGCATCCAAATCGATCCTTCGCCGGCGAAGGGCGGCGGAGGGCCTCGCCTCCTGTTTGTTCATCTGCGCCACAGTCAGGGGTGTCTGTCCTTGTGCGTTGACGTGATTCACATTGAGGCCCGCCTGCGGCGGAGGAATGAGACGCACGGACGCGGAAGGCTCTGCCTGATTGATCTTACGAACGGTGCGCAAATGCCGTCGAATGGACACTCCGCAACTTAGTACTCTTAGCCAGCACCCAAAGGATGTTGACTGGATGGAAAGAAAACATAGTCAGGAGTACTTTTTGAGTACTTTTTTGGTCCATAAACCACCCTTTGGGTGGGAGGCATCGGCTTTCACCAGGTATCGAGGTATGGGAACTATCGGTTCATGTCTGTGGTGATCCTAGCCAGAAAATTGTTCCAAATATTATTATGTTTGTAGCTCTGATTTGGCTCTTGTTACGACTGAACAAGTGGTCTCAATCATTGATACAAATTAATTAGCCTGCAAAAAAGCACCTTGCTTTCCTCCACCCTGCAGGCCCTGGAGGGAACTCTGTTGGAAGCGCCTTCAACAAATACTCCAGGAGCTCCTGAAGGATCAAATTTTGCATGAAAGAAGACCGCAGCTCGACAGTTCCGTCGTTTTCCATAGAACACCAGTGTCAGTGAATCTGAAGCTTGATTTGTAGACACGACATCTAGCGCAACAGCCTACAAAGGAGAAACCGTTTGCTTGTACAGAAAATGCGGCCAATGCTCTGATGCTGTACTTTGTTTGACCGAAACTCTCCGTCTCGCGCCCTGAGGGCTCGCCGTGCCTTGCGGCCGTAGCCCGCAGCATAGTGCAAGCCACTGTTGCCTGGGTGGCCACCGTGGGGCAGGATGTGTTAAAAGAACAGAACTACTAGTAGCTTCTTGTTCCTACTAGTAAGGCCAGGAGCCCTTGCTCCTAGTAGCGATGCCAGGAGCTACTAGTAGCTAGTAGCTTCTTGTTCCTAGTAGTAAGGCCAGGAGCCCCTAGTAGCATCCTTGCTCCTAGTAGCGATGCCAGGAGCTACTAGTAACTAGTAGCTTCTTGTTCCTGGTATAGTAAGGCCAGGAACCCCTAGTAGCGTCAACTCTGTGTGCCTCTTCCGAGACTTCAAGTGACCACTCGAAGATGCAGCCTTGACCTATGATGCTCAAGAACTCACGGTCTTGGACCAACTCACGGTCTTGGACCCTCTACCTTTCAGCTCCCTCTGACGGGTGTGAAACCGTTTTTGTTCCATCCAATGGTGGCCCAGCAGCCGTTGCTGTCAACGGCGTAGGGGTTGGCCCGGCTGTCCAACAGCAGCTTCACCTGGTGAACGTGCGGCTTCACGTGTTGGTGTTTCCAGCACGAGGTCCTTGCCTTGAAGGACAGTCGCTTGGACTGTCATGGACAAAACACGGCCCCAACTCTTCCATCTGTGCAACATTGATCATGTGCCGTTTCATCAAACCAAACCAGCCAATTATAGCCAAGGTTGGCAGAAATGTTGCATGGTTGATAGTTGGAAGACCGATTCACTGTTCCATGGGTTTTCAATCGATGCTCCCATCCTCGACTCTTGGGAGACACTCGGATGTTTCGAGATCGGTGAGATCGGTGTGCGAGCCAGATTGATGATCCAACCCAACGTCGATGATGCATCCAAGATTGATGCATAAGGTTGATGCATGTTCTCAAAGAACATGCGCAGTTCCGCAAACCGATTGGACAGTCCAATTCTGAGAGAGCTTCTGACACCTCCACATCTCAGCACCCAGTCTCCCTGATCCTTGAAGGACCCTTTCTTTTCGTCGAGGGGCCACAGCGATGCGGTTGGTGCCAATGGCGTAGCCCAGAGCAGTAATGCCCTTGTGATCCTGTGAGGGGAGGGGAGTGAAAAGAAGGGTTTAGATGGAAGATCCACATGACGTGGGTACTCTTACAGAAGAATCAAACACACATGGTTTCTCACACACCTTTGAACCCACCATTTGAACCGCCTCCCGCTATGAATAGACACCGGGCCGGGGAGGCCGGACCAATCTGGGTCCTCCGTCAACGGGACTCCGGCGGCACAGCCCGCCGGCGCAGTTCGGGACGATATCGACCATTTTGTTTTTTCGCGCGAAAGATAGGGACCTGTATGAAGAGCCGCTGTGGCCCTGGTGCGGGACAAAGAGTGGGTAGTCCTGGAGCTGAATATGCCTTGGGTGTATAGGAACCTCCATTCGGAGATCGCCCAAGGGCGGGGCCCTAGCTATATATCAAGAAACATTAAATCGAATCTTCCAGGACCTTCAGAACTTCAGTCCGTGACCTCTTTGGAGTGTCCAAGTGACCTCATCCTGAGATCTAGGTCACTTTTGATGCGACTTTGAAGGTCCACGTTGTTCAAGTCGATGCGACTTCGACCCTCCTGGATAGGACATGACACTTCTGTTGCTTGATTTCTGTGATTCTTCGCTGGTATTCACATGTTGTTCAAATAGATCTCTATACTATAATGATACATAATTATATATACATGTCATATATGTCCTTGCAGACTAATGCATACCTGAACACACTAACCAGAGGTTGAGGAAAATGTTCTTCACCTGGTCCATTTTCACGTTCTGTTCTATGTCAATCCGCGAGGGCCGCCGCGAGGGCCAGTCAGAAAGTCGAGGGATGCGAAGCGCACGCACCTGTTCGACGTACACGCAAAAGAGTGCTGAAGATGACTTTGTGATGTTTATGGACTGTTGCTGGGAATGAAGCAGCCTGCTAGTTAGAACCAACCTAGGCCCTGTAGTTTCAAGTATACCTGGTACCCACCCCAGTCCCACCGAACCGACGAAGGGACCACTGGAGCCCCAAACGGGCCACTGTGATAGGACTCAATCCCCCACAACGGGCTCGCCAACCCGCGCCTGTGAGTCCAAGGGTTTCTTTTTCTGAAGGAAGTCCTCGTCTGGGTCGCTCGGATCAAAAAGCTACCAAAAAGTACTTACCCTTGGAAGTCAGGACCGGATGAGCTGTCTAGAGGTACCACGAAACACATAGTGACTTCCAAGCCGGGTGGTGTGACCTTCAAAGCAGTGCAAGTAGTGTAGGGTATTCCATTGGAGGCCCCTTCAAAGGTACTGCAGTAGACAAGTCTGGGACTTTTTCCAAATTCCTCACCCGTCAGGTCCTCCTCCTCCTCCACTCCTCTCCTCCCTCAACCACGAGTGTCGGATGGCAGCGTTCCCCGCCGGACCTCAACTGCGAGTGTCGGATGGCAGTGTTCCCTGCCGGACTTCAACTGCGAGTTCAAGATGGCAGTGTTCCCCGCCGGAGAGCTCTTCTGTTCTTTTGAATCTGCGGATCTTGAAACAGGACGGACCAGAATGCCTGAAAGAATGTCAAGAGATATGCCAGAAAGAATGTCAGATAAAGAATGCCAGAAGATATGCCAGATAGAATGTCAGAAGACTTGCCAGAAAGCATGCCAGAAAGAATGTCAAAAGATATGCCGGAAATAGTCTCAGAAAGAATGTCAGATGAAGGAATGTCAGAAGATATGCCGGACAGAATGTCATGATATATGCCAGAATTACTTTACTTCGAGTGATCCCCACCATGACATTTCATACATGGTGGCAATTATATTTCCAACATGCACAAACCAAATGATTGCAAGACTCATGGCACTTTTTTTTTAACACACACAGATCCAGTATGGTTCATCTCACTTCTCCTGGCAGCATCTGTACGGCTCATCTGTCTGGCATTCTATCTGGCACTCTATCTGATATATTCTCTCTGCCATTCTATCTGCCACTCTATCTGGTACATTCTATCTGACATTCTTTCTGGCATGCTATCTGACATTCTATCTGATATTCTTTCTGACATTCTATCTGGCATTCTATCCGACATTCTATCTGGCATTCTATCGGTTATTCTATCTGGTATGATATCTGACATTCTTTCTGATATTCTTATCCAGTGGTTGAGGCCCGGTGGTGCCCACTGGACTCGGACGCTGCCGGTTGAGGTCCAGCAGTGCCCACTGCAATCGCGAGCTTGTGGTTGAGGTCCGGTAGGGCCCACTGCAATCAAGAGTTGGCGAGGAGATGGCGAGGCGGAGGAGAAGGAGAAGAAGAAGGAGGAGGAGTAGAGCTCAAATAAAATCTAACAACCCTCACCTGGCAGGTGGGGAAAAATATCAGAAATAGTGTCAGAAGATATGCCAGAAAGCTTGCCGAAATAATGTTTCAATACACGCCAGACAATTTGTCAGATTGAAATGTCATGGTGGGGATCACTCGAAGTAAAGTAATTTTAGGTTTCGAGCTGGTCTGTTCCCATCTGCTTAACTTTCCTGTTTGTTCTAGACCAGCGCTCTCATGGTTCTCACTCGTCTGTGGAGTTGAGCCCGACGTAGAATTTGAGAAGAGCGTCAGGACTGTTTTGACCCAAACACGGAAATCACGTCAGCAACCTAGAGTTTGCTCGGCTGTTTTCTCCCTGAATGGAAACATAACATCTGCTGAACCACATGGAAGGATCTAAAAACGGGCGCCATTCACAACCCTTGGAAGAAAACAGGCACAAAGAAACCAAGAAAGTGGAGGTTACCCGGGCCTGAGTCTTATTCTTTAAAGAATGCCTACGAGAAGAGAAATCTCAGGATTCGTGTGAACTCATAAAGTTACATTGCCAATCAAACAAAAAACAAGACAAAACAACCGAACCATAGAATACTATGCTAAATTTAAATCTATCCACTCGGTCCCCATCAAACCTGTGCAAACAGAGGGCCATTGTCAAAAGGTACAAATTTTGGGCAGGTACTAGTATGTGGTTTTATTTAGTCAATATTTGCCGTCTCGCGTTAACGACCACAAAATACAAGTACCTCGATCTATCTGAAACTTCCGTGGTTCACCATCCCTGAGTTGAAAACCCCTCCTCCACGCTAGAAGCGATGGCCTCCAACCTAAGAACGATGGCCTCCAACCTACTAGCGATGGTCTCCAACTGAGCATCCATGACCTCAAATCCCTCAACTTTGCACCTGGTTCCCGCCCTTTGGCGTTTCGGGTTGGCGCTTCGCTTGGGTCGGGTGCTCTCCTGGACGGCGGCGAGGTTGCCATTCTTCGCAGCCTGGCGAGATCTGGCGGTCCGAGGCAGGGAAGATTCTGCAGAACGCCGGAAAAAAGGCCATGGCGGTTGAATACAGGGTCGAGGCCTTCATGTATATATAGATGATGAATTATAAATGACTATGTCAGTCTATGAACCAAAGCTTGAAGAGGTATTTTTTTCAATGCAAATGCGGAAGTGTTTACTGCGTTGTCCACTCATGTTCATGTGCGCATCGACGCTGAATCGTTGGGGGGGAGAAAACCGAGTCAGCCGATGCTGGTCAAACTCTCTGTGCTGCAGAATAACGGCTTCAAGCACCTGATCTTGAAGGCTTCAAGTCTTTGCTGCGGTTTGTTCGCATTGTTTGAACAAAACTGTCTACAATCCCCGTCTCGATTCCATATGGGGGGGCCCTGTCATTGATGTTATAGATATGAAATGGTGGAGGTGACCACAGAGATTGTACACAAATACCAACCTGAGGGCTATCCTGGAGTGCAAACAGAGGGCGCATTCAGTTGTATGCAGTCCAAATCCTGAAAAGCTTTCATGGCTTCCTAAGACGGTTTGCATCACACCATTCTGAGATAGACAAAAGATGGGGAACAACTTTGAAACAGTTTGACACCCTTATACTTTGAATGAGCGCTACATTGCTTGGGAAACCAGGCATCCTTGCTCAGTGTGGAGCACATCATCCAATTGACATTTAGAATAACCCGTGACAAGCATTATTGTCTAACAAAACCCAACCCACCCACTTCTTCACCAGCCCGATTCAACTGCCAGCTCAGCTAGGTCGCTTCTCGTTTCGTTTCTTCTTCAATCGGTGCCCAGAGCAGCTCGCCATAGCGCTAAGGCGTCACGCTGACCTCGCCTCGTGGAGCGTGAGAGGTGTTTCCTGTCAACCCAGAAGCACAAACAAAGGAGAAGGGTATAAAGTTTAACAATGCATGGCCACGAGAAATGAGTGACACATATAGTAACACCTATAATATATGCTGAAACACAAAAATGTCTATTTCATTGAGGCCCAAACAAGCCGTCAAAACCACAAGCATGGCTCAACATAGGAGCCACAGCAAATGAATTAGACTGAGTGGCTTGGCGACTTTGAAGTCCCAACCATGTTTTTGTCTTTTTAGTTGTGAAAACTATCAAAAAGGAGCAGAACATCATGACCTCCATTTCCGAAGCATCCGATCTGGGAGTCTGGTCTTAGTCTTTCCTCTTGTCGTCTCTTCCGTCCTCGATCTGCCGCAGCACGGGTTGGAGATCGGCGGGAAGGCCTCCCATCTTTTGAGAGATCTTTTGCATCAGTTCTTCATCCTGGCAGGACTCATCGACTTCGACTCGCCAGCAAAACTTCGAGAGATCCTTCCAGGGTCATGTGAAGGAGGTCAATGCGGTCAATGTGCATGGCAGGTCAACCTGGATTTGAGCGAAACCTGTCTGGTCGTCTACCCTATCTGGCGGGTCGAAACTTGGAGCTCCAAACCCTGCTGACCTCCTGAGTAGGTCTCTTCTGTTCTTCGGAAAAGCCCGGCTTCCCCGGCTGTGACCCACATGAGCGTCCGGCAACAAACAGCCCGTCGAGGAAAACCGCCAGGCCGGCGCCGTTGGGACGGATGATGCTTTTCAATGCTGTTCACATCATGCAAGCGAATCATCTGTGCTTTTCCTGTTTGGCAGCCACTAATTAGACGAAATGAAACTCTATAACACTATAAGAGTGGTGGTGGAACCGAACTAATGACTTCCCGCTCATGGACGAGAGAAGCTTTGGAACACAGGTCAGACACCTGCAAGCGCCGTTGTCCTCTCTGTCCCCAAGGGGTTGGAAGAACGACATCGAACCATGGATGCATCGTTTTCAGAGACTGCCTTGCTCGTTGACATCCCCAAAAAGCCTCCCCTAAAAACATCAAAAAACCACCCTGGTTTCGTCCCTTTTGGGAGGCCTTTATGATGACAGATCCACCAACGGATGGCCCCACACGTGACCAAAGATGGCATGACCACAGAATGAAGACCTGGTAGTACTTCATAGCAGCTTCCATGCCGTTCTTTTTGATGTCCTGCAGCACAAAAGCGAATCTCTCCAAATTGAGTGCCTGAAGAAGACGAACCACCAGACTGAACCGCGTGACTGAAATCTTGTGGGAGTTAAGAGGCCCCATGTGTAAGAGGTTCTACCATGTTCTACCATCCAGCATGAAGGGAGGTACTTGTTCATCAACGATCTACAGTATTCTACAGTCCCTTTTCCATTCAGAATCGCTTCTAGGACCGGTCTTCCATCCGTGGCATTCCGTCGCATCCGTCGCATCCCCTCCCAGCAGGCGTTTGGCCCTAAACAGTTGGGTCTGGAAAGCTGTCTAGGTCGGTGTTCTTTTCGCCACTTGCCATTGAGAATCCTCTTCGAGGCCTAAGGTTCCCGTTCGGTTCACCTTTTGTTGGGGAGGACCAAGTGATTTGTGCATCTACTTACCCTCCAACTGTCCTCTGGCGCTCCTCTCTTCTGTTCTTGCTTTGAAATTACAGTGAGCATCTGGTTCTCAATTCTTTGGAGAGAGTGATCACCAAGAAAATGCCGGAAGAAAACTCCCTCAACTTCGCGTCTGGGTCTATCACCAAATATGATCACCTAATGACTCTCTCTCCTTGCTCAGTCATCCGGAAGAAAACAAACATCTCAAAGAAGAACTTCGGGGGGGGAATCAACATCATCTCATCATGTCAACCAGTCAACCAGGTTGACTCTTGTCACTCGTACCATACCAAGACAGGAACATGTGATGGTCTCAAACTTCTCATGTCCGACACCCCACGAGCCTCACTACCGGTGCATTCACGAAGCCCAAACCAAGCCCGGCACCACTGCGACCGGACGGACATGCGATGCGAAACAGGCTCGCGGGCGGATCGCGGGCGAAACATCTCGCACAGGCGAAGCGAGGCGTCCTCGAACATCTCCTGAAGCTCGGGGTCGTGTTCCAAGGATTTCACCTTGTCCTGCGAAGCTCGGGACCCGTGACCCACGGAGAGTGCGCGAACACCGCAGCAGGTGTGAGCAGAAGTGGTGACACGGCCAAGGTCTGACCGTTCCGGCAGGTCCTGTCGGTGGATGTGACTGGGCACCCCTGATCCTCCAAAAGCAACGCTCCCCAAATGGAACCGCCTCGGTTCTTGCTGGATTAGCCTCGGATTCTTCAGAGATGTTGTTCATTGTTGTTCTATATATTTCTGTACCATGTAGAGATGCAGATTCATTCAGTTGCTCCTTGTCCGCCCTGGCTTGAGCACAAGAGTTCTAGAAATGAACAAAACCCCTACGCAAAGTATAGAGTTGCAGTTTCTCTTGACATCTTTTGACCATCCTTGCAGTTGCTCGTCACTTCCAGTATGTCATTCCTACAGCTCAGCCGCGGCGTCCTGCACAGGAGCATCACCCGTTGCGAGCTTCCTTGGGCCCCGGAGGGGCGAAGCACCGAAGGTCCAAGGTCCACGAACGCTCCAGGCATGGTGAATTCGGACGGTTCTGAAGACCTCGCCATGCTTCTGGAGGGTCCAGGGGACCAGAACAAGTTGCTTGGCCATTCTGCTTCCCTTTGGGCGAATGGAGCGTCGTTCGAGTTCCGGCCACGAAAACACTCAACTACCAAAACTTGGACTGAAGCATTGAACCACTTCCATGTCTGGAAACCTAAACAACCAGAAACACATGAAATACGTAGTTGTTCCATTATGGCACTTGAGATCCTCTACACGTGGTTGGGACTGGGGACCGGGGATGGGACTGGGTTTCCCGGTCAAAGCGAGTTTTTGGAGGACCAACTCTTGGTCTTTCGCTTTGGACACGGAGTCGGAGTCGGCAAAACGGGCCCGACTCGCTGAATCAATCGCGGTGTCCCCAAAGCAATATACACCTTAACAGGTCAGGAACTAGTGTACTAGAGTTGTTCACACTACTCAAGGAGGTGTCTAAAGGACCAGGGAAACAAATGATTCTTAGCTGATTCATGGCTCAAGTGCGCTGGCTCGTACCCTTTCAACATGGCTCGCACCCTTTTTAGATGCTTTTTGCATGGCCGCGTTCTTGGAACCCTGCCATTTGTCTACAGTTGCTGGGTTGATTGAGCACCTGTCAAGTCTCTTTTCAGAAAAGCTGTAGCCAATGGTCCGAAGCGCTCCGCCACGGACGTCCCACCGCGATGTTTGGACCCACCGATGGCCACGTTCCGATGGCCACCGGTGGATTCTGGGAGCTCCGGCGAATTGTAATGCTCTGCAATCGCTTGGGTCTGCAGCCAGCCCCTCATCGCCTGCAAAACAGGTGAGAACATGCCACCCACATGGGCGGCTTGCATTCGGATTTGGGCAGGTTCCAAAGGAGAAGAAGAGTGCTCCACAGGTCCCTTCTTTTGGTGCAACCTGCAAAACAGTTTTCTGTCAAACCGCAACTAAAGCCCACCAATACCACCTGAACAATTCGAGGTGATGAATGTGGACGATGTGTCGGTGAGTTCGTTGAATTTGAAGCTTCGGCTGCTTAAAGCATCTTAAAAACTCTGAGAAATCATTGGAGAAGCATTCTCCAATGTTCTTGGGCGACCCCCGATGTTCCAAAAGCTCAGGCCTGGAGCCTCCGGCGAAACTTTCAGGCTCACTTTGGATGTCCAAAGTTGAAAGACCTCCTGTGCATCTGAATCATCCGGAGAACATGAACCAGAAGGTTCACTTGACCTTCAGCAGACCTTCTTCGTCTCTCATATGTTCCGCACCGACAGGTCCAAGAGGGATGCAAACCTGCTCTGTTTACGACTCCAACACTGAAGATAGACCTGGTGAGAAGCTTTGATTAATGAATGACAAGGATGCCTCGGTTTTCTTTATAACCCTGGTCGCCCCAGTTCAGTAGTATGTATTCGTCCCTGGAATCAAATAAATGGTTGGAACCCTTCAAAAGTTCTACAGTACATGGTATTACTAATTAATTACGATCACAGGGAGAACATAAGCAAGAGAAAGAACAAAAGTCAAAATTGTTATTACCAGGAGTCACAAAGGGGTGCCCAATGGAAGCCTATAGGTAGTGTGGGGTAGTTCATTGGACACCCCGACAGGAGGGTCCTGGTATATGTCATTGTTCCTCAGTCCTGAAGCCCTGAAACGTGCTTCTCCTCCACACATCAGCTCCCATCAGCTCCAGCTTCGACCGCATTTGGAATCAGCTCCCATCAGCTCCGGTCGTCGCCTCCGGGTTCGTGGCAAAGGTCTGCAAAGATTTGGCCGTCTCAGGGCTGCCTGCGATCTGCAGAGATCGCACCGACATCGAGAATCCGAGAAACATGCGAAGATGGGAAGATGGCACGGCCATCTTGAGGCTTTTGTTGGTCCCCTGAGCGATGTGCCTGAGGCTCATGTAGACTGTTGACAAATACCGCAAGACGGGAGACGTAAAACCATTCCGGTAGGGAGGGTTTATTCATCAACAGTCTACATTGTAATGGGATGTTTGCCTGGTTCTCCTGTTGCTCTTGGAACGCCTGAGCCAGCAGCGGATGGTGGGAATTTCTCATGGACCACAGCTGCCGGAAACACAAAGCCACGACGAGCTCACTCTGCCAAGTTCCTTCACACGGTGCATTTTGGGTGGGCACTTGTCCAGCATCCCATGCTTTGGATCTACAGGAAGAAGAGATGAACCACCAGGTTTGCGGCTTTTCGATCGAAAACTCCCATCTCCCGGGACGTCGAGACGCGCCGGGCCGTCGAGAGTCAGTATCTGAAGACAAACGTGGCTAAGCGTGCAGTGCCCCGAGTGCCCCGAGTGCATCGAAGTTCAATGTTCATCATCGACAGTTCTGTACAGCTGAAGCGAAGGTGCATCGTCCTCAAGCAATACCGTCTCGTGCTCCTAAACCCTGACCTCTTGTTTAGCCAAGGAGCTTTGCACGTACTGCTTCACCTGGCAGGGTTGTGACATCTACAGCCACCATCCACCGTATAATTACTTATAACTAAAATGCATGAAGGCACCAGCAAGAAGTGTTCGTTGTCAGTTGCCGGATTGCTCCAATGACGCAGCAGGATCATGATCCTGATGCTGTTGCACTTTGCTCTAGGACCGGACCAGCCTGGGTGAAGTAGTTTTCACATCCATGAGGAAGGCGTAGAAAATTGAGGGTGCATGAGAATTGAAGTCAAAAGCCTCATGTTTCCTCCTGATGACAGGAATCCTGTAGAGTTTAAGGGCCTGCTGCCTGTATCAGTATCAATCTGAGAAAAAACTGGTGCACGCAGCCGCGGCAATTCCCAGCTCGAATAGCGTATTTATCATGTTGTTGGATGAGGGTCCGCCCTCTGTTCTAGTGATCGGAGGTTTCATCGGGAATCGAGCAGTCCCCGGAAAACATAATGGAACGCACTGCGTTTGGGTGACTCTCTTTAAAGGTCAGGCCGTCGCTTTGCTTGCACCATAAGCTGCTTGGCTGCAGCCAGAACCCCCTCCCCAACGCCCAACGCGTCCGTCCTCCGTCCATGTGGCATCATCGATGTCGGGCAAGCGAGTGATCTCCTGGGGCGAAGAAGGTGACACCGCTGGATCGACGGACCGCAGCCTGGTCGGTCCAAGAGATCTGAGGTCCGATGATCATCTGTTTCATGTGCAAAAGTCTGATATACCTGCAAACTGTGGCATTACTTCGGGCCAATGCAGAATTGGCCGATCTTACCCATTCAGAGTCAAAAAAAAGATGTCGATCTATGAGCAGTGTTACATAGTGTTACTGTACCATGTGGACGGATTTACCATGTCGACGGATTAAAGCCAATCATGACCCTCGTGAACGAGAATCTGTTCATAGGCTCCCACAGTCACATGAATTGGTGGATTTAAGTGGAGATCCCAATCTGGATTTCCCTTGGAATACCTCACATGGAAGCCGTTCTTGGTCATATTCCCGTACAAATACCCAGCCACCACAGCCACGAGACGCAGACCCGTGGTTCCTATCTCTCCCCAAACACCCACCGTTCTCGCTTCCTGGGGGTCCCGGCCATGGTACTTCCATCTGAAATCGTCAAGGTCTCCTCGACCCAAAAGCCACGTATAGCGGACCAGCTGGGTCATGCTGGGTCGGGTGGTAGAACACATGTCAAACTGAGACAGGAATCTGCTGAGACTGGACTCCGAGTCTTTATTTTGGTGTACAGTACTTGGGCAAAGGACCAGTGACCTTGTGAAATGAGAGGTGTCCAAGTCCTCCAATGCAAAGTCAAGAAATATCAAGAAAACAAGCCACCGCCCTTCCGCATGCGCAAAAACTCGTCAACAAGCGAAAGCGGCCAGACCAACATCTTGAGACCCAAAAGAGGCCCGGGATCCCCAGGATATGACCTGCAAATGCTGGTGGCATTCTCCTTTTAACAAATGCGGTCGGGTGGGCTCTGTTTATCTGACAGCCTCTCGTTAAAGGTGATGGAGGATGGCTCTGATCGTTAATGAATTGGTGGATGCGGCCTGAATCCCCCAATCTGTCGGAAAAAATGGTGTTGGAGAAGCCAAAAACAAACAACAGTACACTCCGACTCACAATTTCGAGGGATCCCAACCCCAGGGTCTGAACCAAACTGAACACTCAAGCTCCTTAACATGTGAAGCTACGTCTATGGCAAGGTGCATAGGATCAAGTTGTGAAACTGAAACCACACGATTCCACCGGTCCACTGTACCACATACTTTGCCAAACAGTACCTTCGAGCTTTCATAGAAGTCAACTTTCTGAGAGATGTAAGGTGTAAACACTGCTGCCAAATAAACAACATGATGTTGAAGGTTCCCACATTTTCCCGAGAAATGACCCTCTGTGCTCTGAGCAAAAGAACAGGATCTCCCCCGATTTCCATGCAAGTGGCAGTTGTAGGCTTCGCCATCACCGGTCGCGCGGCAGCGCGAATACGCCCGAACGCGTAGCGCGGTCCGCAGGGCTCTTTGAGCAGCAAAACGCAAGACAAGGCGAGACAAGGTGCATGCAACCGCGTCGGGGTGTTGGAAGAAAAACTTCCTTAGCAGTCCACATAGCTCTTGAAAAAGGGCAGAAGGATCAACACAATTTTCGAGGAAACGGTTGGACTTATGGGCCATTCAGCTGCGTTTTCCAGGATTCATGATGGGCCAAAATGCCTCTGTCACCTTGAACGCAAAGACAAAAACCAAAAGATCATAGATGTGACGCTGACTTGTGCAAGAAGCTACTAGTAGCTCCTGGCAGTACTACTAGGAACAAGTAGCTACTAGTATTTGTGAGGGTTTGTTCAGACGGTTCCACCTCTGGGTTGACCAAAACACGGGAGGTCTCGGGTATCAACTGCAACAAAACCCCCCCCTTAGGAGGTCTCTATCCCCAAAGGGATTCAAAGGCATTCAACAAACTATAAGTATATATATATATATGCACTACAGTCTACAGTAACCTATTCTACATGCAATCAATTATATATCATATCATATCTCAAAAGGGGATCTTGTCCACAACATCTTCAAGGGGATTAATTACAGTAGAAATCGGAAGTGCTGAATACCAGCCCTTTTGATCTCGTCTTTTACTCCCGTTTGATTTCGCTGGGCTCTCCAACGGCTTCACACTGAAGAGCACGACCTGAAAAAACAACGGCCCACCCGAGCGATTGGGAAACCTCAGGAACGCAAGTGTAACAGCTCGAACTCTGAAGCTTTGTTCCACAACGCCCTCCCTTTCAACTCCTCTTCATTGCAGCGAGCATCCTCCCAGCAGAAGTAAAACAATCACAGTAGTTCGCACCACCTTCTCCCAAGTTCAGTTTATTACAGGCGACCCAAATGACCCAAAGAACACCTTTTGTTTGAGGTCAGAGACTCCCAACTCACAAAGAAAAGCAGATCAGGGCCCTTTTTGCTGATCAACCACCCTGGTCCATGCAGTGACTGGTTGACTGTATTTTTTGTGCAGCCCTTTTTCTCCAAGAGGTCAAATTAGTCTGACCTTAAGACACGGCAGGGCTGTGCGACAACCAAACTTAAGGTCTGCGAAACATATCAATTGGATCTGAGCGTTGCTTTGTGGGGGGGGTTCAAGTGGTTTCCCATGGTTTCCCTGTTGAGGTCATGGGTCATAAAGGCGATCGATTGCAACACTTTGTTTGTTATCGATGGCAGAAACACGATGCTGCAGAATTACTGGATGGAAGCGACCCGTCGGGTTGACGCATTGAGTAGAATAAATGTTAGTAGTATATTAGTGATACAGTAGCGATACATATATATATATATATAGTGATATACTGTACTATGAACATCTATGAAGCAGTTCTTAATTTCCATAGCAACCCTAACATAGTAATATGTCATAGTAATCCTTGTTTCCAACATTCCCTGTCTTGTGTTTATGTAAAAAATACAAAACCTATCAAAACCCGAAAAAGAAACACATGTTATCTCCTTTTTTTTTGAGTTCTTTCGGTTCTTTTCACTCATTCTGCCATCAACCTGAACCTGGCCTATCCAAATCTTCGCAGCAACTGAAGGCAACTTGATAAACTTGATATGCTTTCTGCATCTTTATGCACATTGGACATGTTCTTCAGACCGGCTGCCACTCACTCGGCGTATCCACCGTCGCCTCATCACACCGCGTCAATGCGCCACAAGCTTCGGCCAACTGCTTGGGGCTCACCTGTCACACATGTCTGGAAGCAATGCAGAGTTACAGTGGTTTCAGAGTAGATGGCACGCCCGCAATCATATCGTAAATGAGGGGGGTCCATATTTTTTCACCACCGACACTGGAATCCTTGTGCCACCGAACCTCTGAGTGCCCACGGTGCCATCGCACCGAAGAAGGACCGGTGGCACCAGTCCAGGACCCATCGGTCAAAGGAGTCGACCGGTGGGGTGGGAAGAGAAACTCGTAGCGTCCGATCGCTCCGTTCGTAGCGATGCCAGGAGCCCCGGTTCGTAGCGTCCTAGAAGACACCAAATCCATACATCCTTCCGGTTGTCAGGGCCCACATTCGGAACAGATCCATGTGGTTTCCGTCGTAAATTGGACATGGCCGTGAACAACAAAAAGGCTGACATTCCACGAGCCACATCCTACAAGGTGGAACCTACTTATTGTATATCAGTCAGCACGTGCCATAGTCTGTTTGTTTCCTTGCAAACTGGCAGTGATTTCTGAGAAGATATCCTTGAATTGGGATATTCACCCGAGTGCTGACTGTCACAAGGCTGTGATTGCTCCCATGCTGAGACACACCATTCAATTCAACCTGCAACTGATCAACCGGAAACTACCCGCATGTTGGCATGGGTCACCTGCTTGACCAACTGGATCCAACTGGCTTTTGCACTGATTCCTTTCATGGGGGGGAACAACAAAGCTTCACTTGCTTAGCCTCTCCAGCTTGCTCTTCCAGCTTGCTCAGCTTGGGTGTGAGAAACCATGCGTGCTCTACCCGTCTACCAACCAGCTGTGCCTCCTTCAAGATGAGCACAAACCAGGTGCCCTCCCGCAGCTGAGAACGTGCAGAGACGTGGTGGGAACGAACCAAGGGGGAGCCCAGGAACTGGAAGACGCGACAGAGAGCGCCAGAAGCGGAGGGGTGAAGCAGTAGGCAAGCCGGACAATGGGGAGTGATCCCTTGCTCTTGTTCTTGTTGTTGCTGTTGCTGTTGCTGTGTTGGTGTTGGTGTTGGTGTTGTTGTTCTTGTTCTTGTTCTTGTTGTTGCTGTTGCTGTTGCTGTTGCTGTGTTGTTGTTGCTGTTGTTGTTGTTGTTTTCGATGTTGCTAGGCTTTGCCTTGTGCCTTTTGCGGTCTGACCTAACCCGGTCTCACCCGTCGGGTTGTCCTTTGACCGGTGGCGTTTCCCTTTCTCTGGGTCCAAGAGGGGTCCAGTCTCATCTGAAATACCAACCCACAGGGTAGCGACATTTGGGGATGTTCCCCCCCCATCGAACACTTGACAAAAGAATGGTTGCGCGTGTATATTATACACACTGATTCGATGGTAGCAACTCTGATAGAAATAAACACATACAGAATTGAACAACTGAATCTTAAAAATACTAGGAAGAAAAGGAAGATTGAATTTTAATACTGAGAGGATCCGATCCGATCGTGCATCATTCGATGTTTCTGCCTTCTGCTGCGAATGACACCACCAAGTGTTTCTGCTGACAGGATCAGGTCGGTTCCGGTCGGATCAGGTGAGTGTGTTGCGCCGGTCGGATCAGTGAAGGTTGGATGATACAGGTCGGATCTTCCGCAAAAAGAGGGCGGGCCTTTGGCAACCTGCTAAGATGGTGAAGAGCCGGATTCCAATGACCTTCGCAACTCCGTGTCTCGGGGTCCGCGGGTCGGCACCACTCACCGAAAACAAGGAAAAATGAGAGCAATTCCAGCCAGTACATCCAACCCAAAGCCTTTGCAATGATCATCACGTGAATACCAATACACTTTTAAACGATGATCATTCTGAGGGCATCAAATCGCAAAGCAAAACCTGAAGGTCGTCAGTTATATGGTCTTTCTTGGATTACCAATGTCCCCACACGTCCTGACTTCTCTCCCGGAATTGCCTGGTCATCGGGCACCAACGCCTCCAATGTGATCTTGCCCTACTGTGATGAAAGAAATGCAAATAAGACCAGCTTTTAGATCATGCATGCGCATGAACCACGGTGTTTTACCTGCTTTGTTACTTTGTCTTGGGCCTAAGACTTGAGTTGATTTAAGAATAAAGTAATTCTTGGATCAGCTCTTGAATTTTGAGAAGGTCAAGCTTGCTTGTACAGGAATACACACATATATAATATAACTATAGTTATATATATACATAGATATAGATATCACATGCCCAACACACTGGGAAAAAGGAAGGTAGTACTTCTGGTGACTGCTTGAATGCCCTGGATTGATGAATCCACAATGAATCTACTGGCTTAAGCCGGCTAAGCTTCCTGGGCCTCTTTGATGTACCAAACCAGCCCTGACTCCCGAACCCACCTGTTGGTCTTAGGGTTTATGGCTTCCCGGTTGCTGGCAGGTGATCCGCTTGTCCGGTGGGTCCGGGATAGACCAAACTCACCAAACTCACCGTTGCGGTTCGCGTGACATACCCTACGGCGCGACAGACCCGGCATTCACCCACAGGGACATTCAACCCATCACCTGAGCGTCAACAAAACCAGGTAAACGATATTGTATCGACCTGTGCTGACCAGGAGACACTGTCTTTGACCCTTGAGAGGAAAACCAAGACTGGCTTGCATCAACATCCTGTCAATTTAGAGGAAAATGGAAACCCTTGATGCGTTCATCACAGTTGAATCATCGCCATGAGATGGTTTGTTGACTGTTCATTCATAACATCCCTGACTGGAGATGTAAAGCCGTCCCTGATACTAAAGGGGGTTTATGAATCAACAGTCAACATTACGGACTAAGAGTCGACAAAGAACATGATCCCGAGGTTTGTTCTGGTCCGCATCGGCAAGAACCAAAGATCTGGTTTGGGTGCGAACTGGGGATGACGCCCTCCGGATCGTAACCTAGCTGTCGGGGTTGAAGAATTCCAAGCAACAGACCGTGATCGCGAGACATGTTCAGCCTAAAATAGGGTCAGCCGCTTCGATCGATCCCAAAATACTTCACCGAACGAACAGTCCCTGTTAGGGTGACTGGGGATTGGTGAATTCCCACTGTCACTAGTAGCGAGGGCCTCCAACCGAACGAAGAGTTTGCAGGTGATCCACGACGTCTTGGGGCCTCGACTGCATCTTCGGTGCCTCGGCACGCATCCGCGGGTGTTCTAAGTGGGGTGTTGGATTCAAACGTATCCCAGACCATCATATGGACTAGTGGGGTGGTTCAGCTGGGGTCAATGGGGCGGCATCCACTCGAATCCTATGGAAGGTCTGAGATGGTCTGAGTATTTGACACGATCCATGGTGGGCTTCTCTCGCTGTCCCAGACCATCCACATTCATTTCGAAGAACAGATTGCCGTTTTGGGTCCTATTCTGGTGTTTCGTCGCGGACAGGACTATCTGACGACAAAAAGTGTGCAAATTCCCAGTTCTGGTGCTGCCAGGTGAACGATACACTCACGAATGGTTTAGCCACAAAAGGGTCCGATCGTCCCAGCAACCAGCGGCCACTGCCGGGAGAGGTCGTGTTGCGTGTCTGAAACCTATGACAAGTCATGCAGCCAAAGCTAGGAGTGGACACTCTGCTGCCCAGCCTGTCAACAACCACAAGGGTGACAGAAGTGTTAAGCGCTTCGTGCTTGGCATGGGGCGGGCTTGCGCGCAAAAGATGCGACCAGTTGTAAGCCTCCAAATTTCCAGGTAGAGTCGTTTCGTGCTGTGGCGTGGATGGGCGCACTCAGGGAAAGAAGCAACCAACACAAGCATCCAATGTCCATTCATGTTCCACTGTCTGACACCGGTATATCAGTATATCTCTTATTCATTGGTTTCTCCATTCTTCCGTGGTGAGCCAAACGCTCTGTTTTCGGACGGAGATGACCTAACCCAGACCATCCAGGCGACTGGAAGAGTTGTACAACGTATGTTATATACAGGTTACCGTTTACCGCGTTCCTGGATGGTTTGGGTCACAGAAAACCTCCTTGAACTCATCCTCAAGCCCGAGCGTCGCATCGCTCAGGCTCCATGCGTGAGTTCACGCGTTTTCCATGTGTTTTCCACACATTCGGGAGACCAAAGGAGGAGACTCCATGCGTTCCGAGAGAGAGAGAGAGAGAGTCACTGACTCCATGCCGAGCCGAACGAACGTCCACCTGTTCTGATTTCGTGGAGTTTCCCCAAATCTTCACCCCCTGAAATCAGGGGTAGGTGATCCACAATGTCCTGCCCTTCTATGTCCTAAACCTCCTTGACCTCATTGGGTGCTGTTTTTGTGCGGTCCTTGACTTCGAAATGAGGTCGGTCCTTCACCTCCGGGGAGGAAGTCCCATCCCTCCGCCGTGTGCCGTCGGCGCAGCTGCCGTCGGGCGGATCCGGTGCCTCGACGTCGGGCGGCGAGCCACGCACCTGAGCCACGATCCACAGACTCTGTGGGTCAAGAAGTGAAGTTCGTAACAAGGACGGTATACGAAAGGTGGAGGCCATCATGTTTATTTCCGGTGGGAGGCCATTACTAGTAAGAAGAAGCTACTAGGAACAAAGGTTGTTTGGCAAAAACATGCTCTTTCAGGGGCCGAACTGTTCCACTTTCTCGATGTTGAGGGATATTATTACTATATATATATGTATTATACAGTATATATAATATATATACCTCCTCAGAAGATACAACTGGACCGTCCTGGAGCCTACATCAGGGAGTCTCCAATCACCTTCTCACAGGGTCTTCTGGATCCATATGGTGCCGATGACTTCAAGTCGAAGAATGCGGCCAGGTCTCTCGCATTCTTGAGGTGACGAGGTCGAATCCACGCACCAAGCGAATTTGAACAGCCCCAAAAAGCTCATCCCATATATGCACCACCTGTTTCCAGGATCCTATAAGGTCTCTCAACCTCTCCTGGCATGCTTCCATTCATGCCAAGCACTGAAGAAAACAACTCTGACGGGGGGTCGCTTTGCTGTAGAAGTAAGTGCACTCAGTGTCTTGAGTTCAAGTTAAAGGTGTGGAGCACGTGGAAAGCATGGCTTTCTGGAACGCATATTGGCTTCCGAAAAATCATCGCCGTCCACTCGACCGGACGTCCTAAGTCCTATACCCGACCAGTCGAAACCTCGCGTCGCCTTTGTCGAGCTCTGGGCGTTCGCACCGGGCGTCGCAAGATCCGCCTTCCGGAGGTGTCTGATCTCGAAGCTTCCCCGCGACACCTCGACGCTCCGAGACAGGTGGGGTTGAATGGAGGGGACCGCTGCGGACGGCTACGGACGGTGAACCGGTGTGGCCGAAGATGGGGACACATCGCGGGCCTATGCACCTGTGCAACATGCAGGTGTTCGATGGGCCTATTCTTTCCGGATCTGTCCGGTGCGTCACGCACCGGTGCGTTACAGTTTCAGTTTCACTTTAGGTGCGCCAGTGACGCTGAGGTCTGACCTTAGGGATGTCGTTGGGCCACTGAGAATGCTGTCCAGCACTGTGCAGATCGTCTCACCTGACCTGCCAGAGTTTCTGGGACACTTCCTTAGGATGCCGAAGATGGGGATGTGTGTCCGAGAACATCGGCTGACATGATTTCCATGACTGATAGGTCCTATGGCTCAACTGCCAAGGAGAGGACCATTGCTGAGGTGTTAGCGAAAAGAGTGGCCCCAGGCCCAACAAGTGGAATTTTGTCAATTTTGGATACTGTATCCTTTATCAGGCAATCAAAGCTGAGCAGGCCCCCCCTTCCAGAGGAAAATGCTCATCCAAGGGGCCTATGTTCCACGTGACCATGATTCTACCAGGGAGTGCCCTTTCTCTTTACCTCAGAGATCCTCTTAGATCCAAGGTGAACCGAGTCGTTGAGTCGGATGGAGTTTGGTTAATCTTGAAGGTCTTGGCTTCGCTCCAGTTCCAGACAGCATATTTGGTTTATTCCCGCCCCAAAACCAAATCACCTGACCACGGGCCTCTGTGGCACGTGAGCATTTAGTAGTGCCCCCCTTCAGTGGATACAGCATGATACAAAAGCAGTGTAGAGAACAAGGATGATCAATGATATTAAATGGAACCGGGAAAGATAGATCTTTTTGTTTAATGAAGTGTGAAGGGGGGGCGTATTGTGATCCTTTGTTTCGGGGGAGGGAAGCTCTCTCTCTCTCTCTCTGTGAGAGTTTGAAGATAGCACCTCCCAAAATGGATCGGTAAGTACTGTAAGTTGCTCTTGATCTGCACAAAGGTCTCCCAAAGAAAAGACATCTACACCACCTTCGCACACCTTGGCGGCGCTGAAAGAATCGAAGTGCAGTGAACTCCATCTGTTTGGTATTAAGAAAAATTGGTCATTTCCAGAGGCCATGCGGCCATGCCGTCTACTTCCATAAATCTTTCAGGGAGTGTAACAAGGACTCCATCTGAGCGGACCCACCCACTCACGTGCGAGTCCGCTCGATTCTGCCTCCACCAGAGGTGCCATGGCGGCCATGGGTGCGCTTTACCGGAAATGTATCGACTTGTTTCAAGGACTTTTGCGGTCGCCAGAGCCCTCCAACTTACTAGCACTGGCCTCCAACCAAATGGGTTGATTTTGGACGTGCACCAATGGAGCGCTTGCTCCTCAGGCATCTAAGGCTGTGGGTCTTGAGAAACCGGGGACACCCGTTGACCACCCCAAGAATGAACAGAATAGACTCCACCTGGGAGGTCGGCCCACGCTGGTCAAAGGGGCTCCGGTTTTGACCTACAGCCCTATAGATCCCATCACCAGACACCCAAACGACCCGTAAAACACACGGCTTGGACACATGGATTCTGCCAGGCCGGTTTCGAACATGCGGGTGCAATCGGAAGGAGCGATCTTCAGCCTTTTACTGATCCAGAGGATCTCCATCGGATTGGTTCATGGCGCATGAACTGGCGCATGAATTACACATGAAATTATCCCATAACAACCTTATCTATTGAAATGAAGGGATACCAAGCCATTAACCCCTACAGCTAAGATTGATCTGATTGCTGAGAATCTGATTGCTGAGATGTTTCTTCTTCAGGAGTGGTTCATGTGCTGATGTGTCTTGCCTGTCTTACTATATACTACATTCCATCAGGGACGAGCTTTGCCTAGCGTTTAGCCTGGCAGATTTCAGATCCAAATACTCGGTCGACTGGGCCAAGTGGACAACATTGGACAACTATGGTGCGTGAACTCATCTACTAAAAAGTTCGTGCTCTGTGTAATAGAGGTTGTCTATTATTCTATTTTAAAGTTCTGTGTTTCTTCTTCCGTGGTCTTACGCAGCCTAAGACAAAACAAAGCAAAACACGTTTCGATCCATCCACTGAAGATTCCACTGGTGATAGTGATTGGTTCGTTTGGACAGTTCGTGATCGTTTTTCAAAGATCGTAGTCATCAGCCAGGCGGGAAGCGACCGTCCCGTCTGGTAGGAATTGGTTGGAAGTCAATGCCCTACCATGCCCTACCCAACGAAACGGCCACTCTGCAGTCGTTTTTTTTGTTGGCAAAGATGGGCTGTACATGGCGTTCTTGCAGGCGGAGCTATGCCCTGGGCATGGCGTCCAGTGAATTATCAGGGTCCTATTTTCAGGTCAATGAGAAGAATCAAATTGAAAGAACTCCAAAACATAAGTTTTGGCGAATGTGTGAACAACTTTTAAACACGTTTCTTGATCTCAGAAGTCCATTTGGCCTCCAAAAAGACCCTAGCTGTCTTGAATTTGCCAAGACGTGGCGTGCTAGATCAAATGCAATGTAAAAATACAAGAATTTGTGCAAAGTAAAGCCCGGCTTGCTAGATGGGCTTGGGCTTGTCTTAGCCCGCAAATGGCTGGGCCGTTGTGGATGGCAAAGAAACAGGATCACTTGCGTCTTTGTTTTCAACTGTTCTTGTCCCAATGCATGGCCGTATTTTGGAGGCTCCGAGCCAAATCGAGCCTCTATACTGTATACTTGTTATGCAATTCTCCTCGTCTCCACATTATCAAGAACGGAACATATGCAAATCAGTTTGTATTTTGCATAAATGGGTTTATACATTACGTGGAAAAATGCTTCAGCACCGGATGAAACATGTCGTTTCACATTCGCCCAGGCCATGATGCGGTGATCTGCTCCCACAGGCCGCCGAGTCATCCGCTGCTCCGAGTCAAAGGCCACAGAGGCCGCCCTCCGTCGAGCGAATGTGCCCTTCGTACATCCGGTGCCTGGCGATGCGGCGACGTCGGGAGCGAAAAGGGGGGAAGGTCTGTGTTGAGAGCAGGTCGGCGTTCTTGGAAACCCATAGGACAACCTCTTTTTGACCAAAGGACACGGGGTCTTTTGGGGGGAAAAAACACTCTAAGCACATGAATGGACCCAACTAAAGTCCAACTGTCTTGACTTAACATGCTTCTACGCAAAACGATTGCATGTCCACTTGGTTTTGGCCTCCAAATCTCAAAAACTACAACTAAATACCTGCAAACCTCCAGTTTTGTGCTAGGCGTTTTCTGTCGCTCTTTGGAGCAGCGCATCATATCCCCCCCCTTCCAACCACTACCCCATCGGTTTGGTCATCCTCGGGCCCCGGACGCATTGCGCGCCATGATGTTACCAGCGCTGGTGGCCAACTGCGCGGGGATTCGACCGGATCGTGTGATCTTTGGAGGACTCAGCCAGCTCAACATTGGTGAGCCCCATGGCTATGAAGTCGCCAGACTGCAAACACCCTATAGGAACAAGTCAAACGCGGAGTGTTATTTTAAAAGACTCTAGCGTGATATACCGTGAAATGAACGTAACATGCGATGTTTAACCGTCCTGTTAGTTTCCTTCCGCCCTTGGCAAGGTCCTGAACTGCTGCGTGGCCGTATGTGGTATAGATCACGGAGGGAGAACAGGTGAACTGCCCAACACTCTGCCCAATATAATTGACATCAGGACTTGTGAGGCCAGCTTCGCTATTAAATGCTATCAAAACAATGTTGGCAACCATTTTGGGGTAGTATCAGGCTAATCGGACTGGTCATGGAGTGCTTTGAACAGTGATTGAGAAGGGAATAACTAGGAAGAGTCAGGTGGGGACACCTGCATCCTCACCAGAACACGTTGGTATGGGATGGGTGGTCAAACATTGCATTGTTTAAACATCGAGACTCCGTACATTGTGTTAAATTTCGTACTTGATGAAATGCTGAGTTAAGCTTCACGTTGGAAATGTAGGGTACATGTTTTAAACCTGGGACGAGAATTTGTCAGCCAATTGGTTGCCATCAAGGTAGGAAGGTCTCCAGTGGTAGTGTTGCCACCATCTGCGTCGACCGAAGTGAAGATTGCGCCAAAGAACGGGCTGCCGATATAGAAGATAGATAGATAGATAGATTGATTGATTGATTGATAGATAGATAGATAGATGGATCGATGGATAGATAAATAGATGGATAGACAATAGACAGATAGATAGATAGATAGACAGATAGATAGATAGGTAGACAGATAGATAGATAGATAGGTAGATACATGGATAGATAGATAGACAGATAGATAGACAGATAGATAGATAGATAGGTAGAAAGATAGATACACACTTCTTGCAAAAATAAGATATAGGTTTAATAAAGCTTGTACGCGGCCAAGCATGGTCAGGCACTGCTTTCGCACTGCGGCATCTACGGGCACCAAACGGTCGCCATTCGGACCAACTGGTGATGCCTACCGAACCCAAAAGACCAGGGAAACACGCGGGTGTCCAAGCCTCCAAAAGTGGTGCCCTGAAGCAGCCCAGCGCTCGGGAAAGTCCAGCAAGCAACTGAACACTCTCTAACCCCGAGTACCCTTGGTTAAGACTACTACCAAGTCCTAAGCGCTCCCCAATTTTGGGCGGAGAGGAGCAGCTTCACCAATGGCTGAGTCAACTGTCTCAGCCAAGCTCGACAGATGCATTCAGCACGCCTTCCAATGGGAGATGCCTTCTTTTGCCTTTGACTTTCATACAATGTCATACTTTGGTGCTAGCGGCAAGTGCAGTGAGTCGTTCGTAGAATTGTCTTGCACCAACTATGCTGTTCGAAGCATTGACGAGTTGCAGATCAGTCACTCCTTGGGGCCGTGCTTGGATGTCCGATGCAAAACTGCAAGTGCGGTTGGGCTAAAATGAGACTGTGCCAAATGAACCCAACAACAATCTTCCCTAGATTCATCCAAGTGAAAACTGCTGGGTGATCCAAACAGTGTGAAACGAATGGGCCGTGTGCAGCAAGGGATCGCCCAACCCAGCGCTCATGTGAAGATTAATTAAGAGGGGGCAGTCCAAAGTCTGCTGTCTGGTCCCCCAGTTTTTTTTGCTTTTCACCCACCCCAACTATCATCCGGACCCGAGAAAACCCAAACGGTTGCCCCAACTGACGCCCACCCCCACGGCGTTTGTTCGGTGTCCGACCCTGGATCCGCATGGATCTTGGGGCGATTGGATCCAATCCCATTGTGACCACCCCGACCATCGACCGGCAGAGGCCGCACTCCCCAGCTGCGACGCAAGATGTGGCTGAAGTACTGGTCATCTTGGATCCTGACTGAATGAGCTGAGGAATGAACGAATTGAAAGTGAACTATGAAAATCCATTAACAACCTCAAGGTAAATGAACAACCTCAAGGTAATGTCAAGCTCTTTTGTTCGGGTTCCGTTTCAACACCCAGCTTGGGGGCTTCCAGCATGGCCAACGTCGCCCTGCAGAGGAAGGGAGGAATGGGGAGCCCAAAGATCCCTCATCTCAACATATCTCAACACACCAATTGATCTTGGAAGTGGACCAAAGCTCCAGGATGACCATGTTCCTCTTCTTAAAAGCTGTTTTTCTTCCACTTCCCGGTTTGTTTGCGGAAGGGAATTAAACCAAAACACACCCAAATCAAGTGTTTCCATTCCTTTTGGTTCACCTTCCGGCAGCGACAGCCCGCTTCCGGCATAGCTGTTTGGACTCCCCATGTTAGGCTGCCCAAGCCTGGATCCACATGTGAGGCTTATATATAGTATTATATATATAGACTATCCCTATGGATCCACATACCTTCTGAGAAGGTGATTGGAGACTATTTATGTAGGCTTGGAGGGTCCAATTACCTTCTGAGAAGGTATGTGGATCCATAGGGTATATATCCTATTACCAGGGCCCTGTGGATGATGATGGTTAGTAAAGGCCTTGTTCAAAAAAAAGTGATAACTTGTTTACTGACTGTTGCAGGCAGTATAGGACAAACCCAATGTGAGGCCATGACAAAAGGGGTGTGGAAACCAGCCTCGCAAAAAAAGAAAGCCTTCCGCCGTCTGAAGCCCCGCAGTTTGAAGCGCGACTCGTCGGTCCCGGCAGAGATGGTCTCGTAGTACTTGGCGAAGTCGGCCAGAGAGATCCTCAAACCAAGAGAGGTTGAGAGACCGCCCGTCACCCTGCGGTACCGCCCTATGGGATAGTCTATAGCGGTCTATAGTCTATTCTTCCACCTCTGTTGGTCAAATGGCTGTGGAAACAAAGACAGAGAGCCCCCCACGGTGGACCGGACCGACCCAGCTGACCGGAAGCCTGACTCGCCATGCCGTGGAAAAGACAGGTATTAAACAATACTGTTGGATTAAACAAACTGTTGGTTCTATAGAAAGGTACTAAACAAACTTCGACTGTTGGATTCAGAACCAATCTCCCCCCTGACTTGGTCAACCCTACGGGGGGCTGGTCAACCCTTCAGTGTCGAACCTCAGTGCAAACAAAGGTAGTTTAAATTAAAGGTTATGCAGTGACTTGGTCAACCCTTCAGAATTCGGTCAACCCTTCAGAACTTGGTCAGTCCGTGACAAGAAAACCGTGTCTGACGATAAGATCCAAAGGTGTTGTGACTGTAGCTTGAAGGGGCTGTTTCCAATTTGATCTGCCGTACATGTGGACAACTGCTCCGAACTGCTGCAAGAGCACCACTGCTTGCTGTGCTCTTGAACCTGCCATCTTCTTGCTGTGAAGGTGTTCTGTCACACAGCTCCCCGTTGGATCTGTTGGTGGATCTGTTGGGCTACCTGAGAAGCCCTTGCAAATTCAGATCCAACGCCATCCACTTGTGTTCACACCATCCACTTGTGTGCTCTGGAGAGCCGAAGGATCCGACGCCACGCTTTGCCGGAGCCCGAACAACAAGGTGAACCGAATGTTCCATCATGCTTTCCACCTCGCTGGGATGGTGAAACATGGGTGGCCCACCAATTCCCCTGAACAGGTGGCCCACCAATGCCCTGTCCCGAACGGAAAGAAGAAGCCCCGGGCGGACCAGAAGTGTTGCTTCTTCGCTCTGAAAGCTGCCCCCCACCTTCTCACGAAGAAGACCGGGGTCGGGGGATCCATAAGGTATACTGAAAACAGCTGATGAAACGCATGGCGTGATGCGTGTGTTTGTCAAACAGGTATCGTTTGCAGTATTTATGTGCCTGTTGGTTTTATTTTAAAAAAGAAACACGTGCACCCCACAGCCATGGCCGTCTCGCAAACATTTGCCTACTAGATTCTGACATATTCTGACTTGGGACCAAGCATTAATGTGAACAACTATAACAAATGAGCAAAGGTGGCCAATCATCAGTTCCCTTCTCCAGTAGAGTACTATTAAAAGAGAAAAAAGACTCCCAAGCAAACATGCTCAGAGCTACATGCTCATCATGCGAGAGGAATTTCAAAAGCCCACCAACCCTGAATCAACCAAGGGTTGGGAAACTCCCTTTGAATCCTCGGCTCCCTGGGGTATGGGAGTCCCCCTGGCTGTCCATTTCTGGGGGCCGCTACTTGCCCGCTCTGCTGTGTATCTGCGTCATGACCTCTTGGTAAACCTGGCGCCCACCGTTGGAGTGCAGGGGATCCCTTACAAGGGACCCTTTTGGGGCGGGTCGTCGCCCACCTCATGTCGCCCTTCACGCGACATGACTTGCATGGCAGCAGCATGGCGAGCTGAACAAAAAACCAGTACAGTAGAGCCCTTCGTCCATCTTTTGTTCAGCAGGTCAGGATGGATGTCGGCAGGTGTTGTGATGGATGTGGGCAGGTCTACATATCCATGAATCCAGTTGTTGGATGCAGCATCCAATTGCTGCGAGGATTGCCAAAACAAAGAAGCTCTTGAATGGAATCACTGTTTGTCAACACCCTGAACTCCTCATGCAGATCCAAGAAATTATCACTTTACTGGACGATGCTCAAACACCTTGGCCTGCAATCAAATGCAGCAGCATATGGATGCCAATTATACTGTTATACTGCTGTCCTCTTACGAAATAGTCACTGGCACATCTGTGCCACATGCAGATGGATGAGTGCCAACATGCATCCGTAGAGAAAACACTTGGAATATCTTGGAATCCAAATGTTCACGACCTGCAGAATCATGCTATAGATGGTGTACAACTTTCGCCTTACAAACCCAATCAAATGGTCAATCGATTTGGTTTCCACCAGAATTTCTTCGGCCTTCCTACCTGTTGAGAAACCGACTGCCTTGACCGGTCTTCACCCTGTTGTTCCCTCCGACACGGCCGCCGCGTGGCGCCTCCTGGGCGCTCTTGAGCCCGGCCTCTGTCGTCTTAGACCGGTGCGACTGTGACCCGCCTCCCACCCCCTCGACGAACCGGGCAGCCCAGAACGATGGTCCCACCTACCAAACGGAGCTACTTGGAGGTGTGGAAAGGTGTAGGGGAATGAAGGAACATCGTTTTGAGCCTATGTAAACCGACCCCATCTCCCGATTCAGTTATGGCCCGGAACAAGCATCAAGAAACCAACAAGCCCGGCTTGATTTCCGTAGCCTTCAAAGACCTTAAAAAAATACGCTTGACCGGTTGACCTGCCGTTGTAGTGTAAAACCATAGTAAAATCCTTAGTAAAGCAATGGCAGGCACCGAACACATGGGCAAATCCATGCGGACACCTTTCGTCTTTCACCACGTTCGGCCTCGGGGAAGGGCACCCCACGGTCGAGCCGTGTTTTTCAACACGCGCACATGTTCCAGCGTATACCCCACGGTGGACGACACATGTCACTTCGCCGATGTCAGACGGCACCGACTATATATAAGCGATGCTGCGCTGGAAGGGACATGGTTGATGGATCCAGATACCGAACCGGTATGGTCCAGTGAGCAGGGAGACTATTTATGCAGGCGCCAGGAGTCCAATTACCTTCTGAGGTTCGGTATGTGGATCCATAGAAAATGAGAGAAGTTGGACTCCGGGAGGAACTTGCGGACTCCGAAGAACTGCTGAAGGGTTGGAAAGCCATGAAGAGTTGCGAAAATGAAGAGTTTCATGAGTGCTACTGCTACATAGTGCTAATATGTGCTAATGCACCAGGACCAGTTTCACTATGTTGTACTGTTTGACCAATTTGATGGGTTCTGCTCAGTGTTCTTTGCATAGGATACAAGCAGGGAACAAATGAAGAACGCATGCCATAGCAATCTGATGATATCCATGTGCTCAACAGGCTGCAGGCAACACTTGGCTGCTGTACGTACCGGATGTACAACCAAGGCGATCCAAATGGCCTCATCCGAACTCCTCGGAGCGTATGTTCCGCAACGGACCCGCTGACACCACTCTCCGGCGGTACTTCCGGCGGTCAACAAAACACACAGACCAACCCGCCGCCAAACCACGCGTTGCGAACGATCACGTTGAACGATGCCTCCACATCCGGGTGCTTTGAGGCATCGAAATGTGCCTGGCGCGGGCTGGCCGGGCTGGACCGACTGGCGGCCGCTGGAACAAGTCGATTTCAGAACCGGTGTTCTGAGAGGGTTTGCTGCCAAGAAATGGAACAAGCTTGTCAGATTTGCTTGAGCATCTAAAGGATGGGCAGATGAGAATCCGTATCTGAATGAAACATAGACACCTGAATTGATCCTCATCTTCGCACCACTTCGCACTTTTAGGCCTAGTGCCTATAGTCCGATCCACCGCACCATGTCTGGCGTTGGAACACCTTGTCCGTCCATCGCTACCCGCGACCAGTCCCTGCAATAACCAGCACCTGCCGATCGTACACACGTTGGACCGTTAACCATCAAACAAGGACACCTTCCCGAACGCACTGTCTGACAGCACCAAACACAAGAAAAGCAGGCGCCTTTCTCTTAAAAGCAGACCTTTCGACGATTTCAGGGAAAACTGGGGACACACCAAACATAAGCACAACAATGAACACGTACTGCCAAACCGGGTCCCGCCAGTGGCCCAGCAGCAAACAGCAAGCATTGACACATATATGGCCGCAGTGGGTCTTTACACCCTGGTTGACCACTGAAAACGAACAGAATGCACTACTCAGGAGGTCATCTAGCAGGGTTTGGGGCTCCAGGTTTTGACCCATACAGTGACGACCTCAAATAACCACAACCCTTGACAACATGACAGTCGCGTTAGCAAAAACACATTAACCACACATAGTGACATAGTGGCAGCACCAACATCGAACACGAGACACAACAACAGACGACGACGACGACGACGACGACAACACAAACACAATCAAACATAACCAAACACACAAGGACAAACACGACAGCAAACAGCAAACTTTGTTACACACGTTTCCCGGACATCCCCAAACCATCCATAGAGCTTATTTGCCCACCAGTGGTTCTAGCAGTGTCTTGCCAGTGCACCGACTGGCGGGTTTGCTCCAGTATCGTTTGGTCTTTTCCGCCGAGCTCGCTGTTAAGCTGCACAGCAACATATCTTTCGCATTCTTTCCGACCGTTAAGAGCTCATAGCCCAGCGGACTAGGTTGAAAAAGCAAGTTCACATTAGGACAATCCTGGCTCCATGTATAGCTTGAAGTAAGTTTTGAAGGTCAGTGCATGTGAGCATGGCGTCGTGTTTCAGTGACGAGGTCCTGGTGAGTTGGGTGGCCAAGCCGAGGAGATACTGAGCTAATCAAAAACAACAAACAATGAAGTTAAAAAAAACAAAAAACTCAACTAGCTCGATGAAGCTGTTCTCTGCATAGGTTGAGGAAATACGTACAATAAATGCTGGAGGCAAACATCTTGTATTAATCTGTTGGATTCAGAGGTATTGGATGAGGGGCACCCCCGAAAATCCAAGTGTCAATTCCGACGCATTGTGTTCCCTACTTTCGTCCGACCGAAACATATCGGAACACAAGGGCCCTGGACGCCAAGTGAGCACTACGACTTCGCTTTCGAAACAAGGAGTTGGATTTGACTAGGACTTGGACAAGACTTGGAGGGCTAAGACCAAGCTGATACCCAAGTTATTTGTTAGAATTCTCCATGGGGATACCCTGAAACCTTTGAGCTGGCTTGAAAAGCTGGTTCAGCTTCCAGAGTTCGTCCCAATAAACAGAAACATGGTCCAACAAAGACAAACAGAGCCCTGTTTGCGTGTCGATCTCAAGCTGGCGGCATACCAGGACTCTGAAGACTAGAGGGTGTCTCAATAGGGGACGGTGATTGCAGAGTTGAAGCATCTCTCTTCACGTCGAGCCACCCAACATCCCGTGGTGTCCCGGTGACGTCGGTCGCTGCCACTCCACTCCCCTGCGTCGGTCGCTGCGTCCGCTCCACGTCGTCCCCACCCGTAGAGCTCGAGCGTCCACGAAGCCCTCGGCATCGCGCAAGGTGGAGAAGACCTGCCGGTGGGCGTCGGTGCGGTCGACGCGTGTCCTGTTGGACCAAGATCGGTGCCTTTTCGGATCTTCCCAAAAGCAAAGACTGGTTTCGAAACATCCAGAATTTTAGGGTGTGGAAGGTGGGAAGCGGGGTGGCAAAAGCATGAAATTTGCCAAGAATGGTAAAAGAAAAGGACCGCTTTCCTCATGTCCTCCAAAGAAGAGATAGAAAAGGAATATTAGCTGTCACCAAATTGGAACAACCCGTATGTTTCGAAAGGGCTTCCGTCTTTGGCGCGGAAGCGCCTTCGCAGGTCCATACCACATACACACACACACACACACTTGTCGTGGTTCGTGTATGTACCTGTTGGAAGAGTTCGATGTCAGATGGGATCTGCTGCAGTTGCAGGTCTTCCCAAGAGGTCCGAAAAACCCTGCAGGTGCGTTTCGGCGATGTGCTCAAGTGACGGCCACCTTGACTACCGCGGATATCTCAGGAAGGAGCCTTAGATTGGCTAGAATCATAAGGTCGCATGAGGTTCTCCAGGATCTCTCTGCCCAACAAAAGAATAATTCATTGGTTGGCTACTTGGTTGGCTACGTGATCTGGAGATGGACAATAGACAGTCAGGGGGGTCTATAAACCACCCTTTGGGTGGTGCTGGTAGGTGTCATCTGCTTTTCCGGTAAGATCTGCACTGGTTCAGTCTTCGACCGGTTGGTATAGCTCTTCGGGCAAAAGGGGACTTCCATCGAGACGCTAAAGCACGACAAATACGGTGCACAGAGTTCGTGCTGTTTTTTTCAGCCAACCACCGGGATCCTCTTCTATCAGGGAGAATCCTTCCATTTGAGCCGCCGAACCATGACCTTGAGGAGCACCGATCATTTAATGGTGAAATAACCTCTGAACTTTAAAGGCTATCACTCCAATCTTGGGCTCTTTCCACCGCGTTCGGAGCAGCTCGCGTTCGTTTCATCCACTTCGATGACCTCGTCTGACGACACCGGATCCATCCCGACACCCCACGTCGACCGGCGCCGCGCCTTTTCGACCGAGTCTCGGCCGAGTTTCGACCGAGCGCACGGACTCTCTCCGGCTCCACGCGGAGCGCACGGATCTCGGTTCGAGCGCTCGGGATGAGCCATGCTCGGTCAGTGTTCTTGTTCGGTCCAGCTCGGTCGGGCGCGGGGGGGGTGGTCGGAAAGCGTGCCGCATCGGAGGGTTTTCGTTGGAGTTTCGGGGGATCGGTTCCAGTCTGTTCAGGACTGGACCACAACATGCTGCAAGCTGCAATCAGATTCTCCAAGCATGTGGCTGATTTGGTCGTCCGGATTTGCTCTTCTGCTGAAAGAACCCTGGAACTGGTGGACCTGGGCACCAGACTTGTTTGACCAATCTTGGAGGGTCCATGTGGAGGCCCATGCTCTGTTCCAGTACCCCGGTTCGGTCCAAAGCCATCCCGAACTCGGCTGGCCATGCCAACCATTATGGATATGATTAGATCTTCATCATGCACGTCTTCGTTCAGTGACATGGCTCAGCGCCAGCATCCGAGGTGCTATGCACGGATTGCTCCTCTGGAGCTAGCTAAAGGTACGACTTGCTTCCCGAGATCAAGCATAGAACCTGAAAACAGGTGCTTCGCAAGAGAAAAGAACTCATTTGATGGGTCCAAGTTTCAGATTCCATGCAAGTTTTGGGAAGGTATCTTTCTTGGACAAGGCCACTCACTGCTTGTGTTTTTGCCCCCACACTTGTGAAGAATCTAAGATTCGGACCAAAAAAACAAAAATCGCCTAAAATCGCCCAAATGCGCATGGTTAAAGTGAACATCCGTGTCCTTGTCCCGTGAGACGTTGATCTTTGGTTCGGACATGTCCTTCTGGGACACTTTGGATGGATGGGATCTTTCAACAGTTTCTCCCGGCGACCCGAAAATGCCGGTTCGGCTGCTCCGCAAATCGGCATCGACGTTGAGCATTGGCGACTACTTATACTGTCAAGTAGACTCATTGATTGATAATACCCCCACATGAAGAGGTATTGTCAATCGCCAAATGGATTGGTTTATCAATCAAGAGTCTACATTAGTTGGTCGAAGATGGTCGAAGTGGATGATTTATCAAAATGCTCCTCCGAACTCGGGGCCACATCATGTTTTTTGGTTGGAGGCCATTAATGCTATTCGGGTCGAGCCCATCACTAGTAGGTTGGAGGCCGTTGCTAGTAGGTTGGAATAATCGCTAGTAGCTTGGAGGCCATCGCTAGTAGGTTGGATGCCATCACTCTCTGGGTGGAGGCCATCGTAGTAGGTTGGAGGCCATCGCTCTTAGGGTGGCCAATGCTAGTAGGTTGGAGGCCATCACTAGTAAGTACGAGGCCATTGCTAGTAGGTTGGAGGCCATCACTGTTAGGGTGGAAGCCATCGCTAGTAGGTTGGAGGCCATCGCTATAGTAGGTTGGATGCCATCACTAGTAGATCGGAGGCCATCGCTAGTAGGTTGGAGGCCATCCATCGCTAGTAGGTTTTTAGGGCATCGCTAGCAGGTTGGAGGCCATTGCTAGTAGGTTGGAGGCCATCGCTAGTAGGTTGGAAGCCATCACTAGTAGGTAGGAGGCCATCGCTCTGAGGGTGGAGGCCATTGCTAGTAGGTTGGAGGCCATCGCTAGTAGGTTGGAGGCCATCGCTAATTGGTTGGAGGCCATTGCTAGTAGGTTGGAGGCCAACGCTAGTAGGTTGGATGCCATCACTAGTAGGTCGGAGGCCATTGCTAGTAGGCAGGTTGAGACCATTGCTAGTAGGTTGAGGCCATCGCCTGAAGGTTGGAGGCCATTGCTAGTAGGTTGGAGCATCACTAGTAGGTTGGAGGCCATCGCTAGTAGGTTGAAGGCCATTGCTAGTAGGTTGGAGGCCATCGCTAGTAGGTTGGAAGCCATCACTAGTAGGTAGGAGGCCATCGCTCTGAGGGTGGAGGCCATTGCTAGTAGGTTGGAGGCCATCGCTAGTAGGTTGGAGGCCATCGCTAATTGGTTGGAGGCCATTGCTAGTAGGTTGGAGGCCAACGCTAGTAGGTTGGATGCCATCACTAGTAGGTCGGAGGCCATTGCTAGTAGGCAGGTTGAGACCATTGCTAGTAGGTTGAGGCCATCGCCTGAAGGTTGGAGGCCATTGCTAGTAGGTTGGAGCATCACTAGTAGGTTGGAGGCCATCGCTAGTAGGTTGAAGGCCATTGCTAGTAGGTTGGAGGCCATCGCTAGTAGGTTGGAAGCCATCACTAGTAGGTAGGAGGCCATCGCTCTGAGGGTGGAGGCCATTGCTAGTAGGTTGGAGGCCATCGCTAGTAGGTTGGAGGCCATCGCTAATTGGTTGGAGGCCATTGCTAGTAGGTTGGAGGCCAACGCTAGTAGGTTGGATGCCATCACTAGTAGGTCGGAGGCCATTGCTAGTAGGCAGGTTGAGACCATTGCTAGTAGGTTGAGGCCATCGCCTGAAGGTTGGAGGCCATTGCTAGTAGGTTGGAGCATCACTAGTAGGTTGGAGGCCATCGCTAGTAGGTTGAAGGCCATTGCTAGTAGGTTGGAGGCCATCGCTAGTAGGTTGGAAGCCATCACTAGTAGGTTGGAGGCGATCGCTATCACTAGTAGGTTGGAAGCCATCGCTAGTAGATTGGAGGCCATTGCTTGTACGTATAGGTTGGAAGCCATCACTATAAGCTAGTAGGTTGGAGGGCATCGCTAGCAGGTTGGAGGCCATCGCTAGTAGGTTGGAGGCCATTGCTAGTAGGTTGGAAGCCATCACTAGCAGGTTGGAGGCCATTGCTAGTAGGTTGGAGGCCATCACTAGCAGGTTGGAGGCCATCGCTAGTAGGTTGAAGGCAATTTCTAGTAGGTTGGAGGCCATCGCTAGCAGGTTGGAGGCCATGGAGGCCATTGCTAGTACAAAGGTTGGAAGCCATCACTAGTAGGTTGGAGGCATGGCTAGCAGGTTGGAGGCCATCGCTAGTAGGTTGGAGGCCATTGCTAGTAGGTTGGAGGCCATTGCTAGTAGGTTGGAGGCCATCGCTAG